AAAGTACACTGCTTCCTGCTTCCATATCAGTATGAGCTAGCATGCATGTTTTCTTCTTGGCTCCATGGAAAACAAATACAGTGGTCCCTCGGTTTTCGAACGTAATCCATTCCGGAATACTGTTCGACTTCCAAGATGTTTGAAAACCAAAGCTGCTACTTCTGGAAGCATTTACTTCTGGAAAACTCAATACGGAAACTGCGTGGCACATTCGACTTCCGAAAAGCGTTCGAAAACTGAAGCAGTTACTTCCGGGTTTTCGGCATTTGAAAACCGAAACGTTTGACTTCTGAGACGTTCGAAAACCGAGGTACAACTGTACGTACAACCATTTTGTTTGCGTGAGTAATAAACCACACATTTTCCTTACTCTTCCCACCAACAATCTTGCCAGACTACTTATTTCTGCAGTAAGTTTACCAAACTCCAACAAGGGGGACACGGTGGGCAGTTTGGTCCGAACACACCAGTGAACCCATTGTAGCAACCCTGCAAATTTCCCTGCCCAGCACAAACCTTGTCCCTCGCACTTCTGGTACACAGCAGTGTTGTCAGGGTGTGTGTGTGTGTTTGTGTGCTCACCTCTGCTCCTCCTCACCGGCCACACCTGCATTTTGTGTACTAACAGGCCAACTCAGAAATCCTGGATTAGGAGGAAGATGTATCAATGGGACCCTTACTTTCGATTCCCAAGCAGAATGATTGCCACTGCTGTCCTTCTCTTTGTCTCCCTTTATACAGTAAGTAAAGGAGCTGCATGACCTGATTCCCTGAGCTGGCAAAGCGTAGCTGCTTCTCTTAAATTCTTCAGTAGCTGTGCTAGAGCCTAGTCTCCATGTGTTGGAGACCAGATTAAATAATGGATGTCTGCAGGGCCGGATTTAGGTTTGATGAGGCCCTAAGCTACTGAAGGTAATGGGGCCCTTTATATGTCCAGCTATCTTTTGTCTACAACAAATTGTCACTGTTTTTTTGTGTTGAATATATGCTATATGGTAATTTATGGACCTAATAGGTATCTAAAGCCATTTGCACAAAAAAATAGGAGCCTACAGAGCCTACACAACACAAAACACTGTTGCTGTATGTAGGTTTTATTTTATTTGTTTTTTTAAATCTTATATTCTGGAAATGTGCATCCAGGTTTTTTTCCCTTTAAATTTTTTGGAGGCCCTAATCTATAGCTTGTTTAAGGGGGAGCAGGTGGTGCTGTGGGTTAAACCACAGAGCCTAGGACTTGCCGATCAGAAGGTTGGTGGTTCGAATCCCCACGATGGGGTAAGCACCTGTTGTTCGGTCCCTGCTCCTGCCAACCTAGCAGTTCTAAAGCACGTCAAAGTGCAAGTAGATAAATAGGTACCACTGCGGCGGGAAGGTAAACGGCGTTTCCGTGCGCTGCTCTGGTTCGCCAGAAGTGGCTTAGTCCTGCTGGCCACATGACCTGGAAGCTGTACGCCGGTTCCCTCGGCCAGTAAAGCGAGATGAGCGCCGCAACCCCAGAATCGGTCACGACTAGACCTAATAGTTAGGGGTCCTTTTAAGCTATAGCTTGTTTAGCTTATACGTAAATCTGGCACTGAAGCTAAGGGTGGTGGTGGCGATGTGCTTGGTGCCAGTCTAGTCTTTTTTAAAAAATAAAGTTGATTGGCATAAAAACATACAGAATACAATAAAAATGATGGATATTGTGAATAAAAATATATGTGAAGTTAGAAAAATTAAAACAGATTCAGAGAAGGGCTAACCGCCCCCCCTCAAGAAACTACTGAAAAGACAGTGCTGTATTCAATTGTTGCATATGAGAAGAAAGGTAAAAGGTAAAGGGACCCCTGACCATTAGGTCCAGTTGTGGCTGACTCTGGGGTTGTGGCGCTCATCTCGCTTTATTGGCCGAGGGAGCCAGCGTACAGCTTCCGGGTCATGTGGCCGGCATGACTAAGCCGCTTCTGGCGAACCAGAGCAGCGCACGGAAACGCCATTTACCTTCCCGCTAGAGCGCTACCTGTTTATCTACTTGCACTGGTGTGCTTTCGAACTGCTAGGTTGGCAGGAGCAGTGACCGAGCAACGGGAGCTCACCCTGTCACGGAGATTTGAACCGCCGACCTTCTGATCGGCAAGTCCTAGGCTCTGTGGTTTAACCCACAGCGCCACCCGCGTCCCAATGAGAAGAAAAGGGTGGGTCAATTCTAAGGGCAGGGGTGTGTGCCTGGTGCCAGTCTAGTCTTCAACTTATTCTAGATTCCTTACAATGGCTGCATTTGCACATAACCAGAAGCCATGGTTTTTAGCGCTGTGTGGCTGAGCTGCAGTGATTCTGAGCAAAGTGTTGGGCTCGCATGCTCCTCCCACCCTGTCCTCCTCGCATTTGGATGGGTGGAAGACTTCTGCAATATTTTGCTTCACTTTCAAAGAATATCAGTCTGTTGTGATGTACCAACCAGGGATCCTGCTTGAAACAGGCTCTGGTTTGTTAAACAAACCAGCTGTGTAATTCCATAGTTTGAAGCTGGCCTGTTTTGAAACAAGTTGTGGGAATGTGTCCATGTAGCACTAAAGCATAGTTTGACATTATAAGCAAATGCAGTAGGTGCTTCCAAAATAAATAAATCATTGTTTTAATAGCTCCCTTTCCTTTCCTTCTCAAATCAGTCGAGAAACACTAGGCTGGATCTAGACACATCAAAAAATGTTGAAGGATGCCATCTGGTGTCAGTGTTATAATGCATTTAAAACACCTTTCCCTCCCTATTTTCTTCACTAATGTAGCTGAGTCCCTAGTGACATTAACTGCACAAGTTAAAGACCACCCTATATCTTCCTTTATATCATTCAGCAGAGAGACATAACGATTTCTGAATAGTTTCTTGGTCCTTTGTCATTTCTAGGTACAGTTGTACCTTGGAAGTTGAGCAGAATCCGTTCTGGAAGTCCATTTGACTTCCAAAACGTTCGGAAACCAAAGCATGGCTTCTGATTGGCTGCAGGAAGCTCCTGCAGCCAATCGGAAGCTGCGGAAGCCCCGACGGATGTTTGGCTTCCAAAGAATGTTCACAAACCAGAACACTCACTTCCGGGTTTGCTGCATTTGGGAGCCAAAACGTTCAACTCACAAGGCGTTCTGGATGCAAGGTATGACTGTATATTAATAACTAGTTACAGTGGTACCTTGGGTTACAGATGCTTCAGGTTACAGACGCTTCAGGTTACAGACTCCGCTAACCCAGAAATAGTACCTCGGGTTAAGAACTTTGCTTCAGGATGAGAACAGAAATCGTGCAGCAGTGGCAGCAGGAGGCCCCATTAGCTAAAGTGGTGCTTCAGGTTAAGAACAGTTTCAGGTTAAGAATGGACCTCCAGAACAAATTAAGTTCTTAACCTGAGGTACAACTGTATTATTTTTATTTCAAAAAAGCATAATATGTTGTTTTATCCTATCATTTTTCTTTTGAGATAGCCACTGTTGTTATCTTCATCTTCTGTGTATCCTCCAGTTTGTTGTAGGTGAATTTATTGTATCCAAGTTTATTTTCGACACGCTAAAAAATCTTAAAACATTGCTAGACCAGCTGCTTCAATCTTCTCCTGGTGAATTAGAAGAAACCATGGCCCTTTCCAAGTCTTTTGGAGAATTCAATACCGTTGTAGAAGGTAGGGGAAAAGTTTTGCATCCTAAATCTAACTATTGTATTATTTGGAGGAGGACCTGCTGGGGCTAGATGGACGGAGGGTATTATATGAATCCAAAGAATCTATATTTGCATCAGCCACTAGCCATAACAACAAAACAAAACAAAACAAAACAAAACAAAACAAAACAAAACAAAACAAAATGTACTGAAGATAGAGGTAAAAACTTAACTATACAAAATACTGTATTTTTCGCTCTATAAGACGCACCAGACCACAAGACGCACCTAGTTTTTGGAGGAGGAAAACAAGAAAAAAAATATTCTGAATCTCAGAAGCCAGAATAGCAAGAGGGATCGCTGCGCAGCGAAAGCAGCAATCCCTCTTGCTCTTCTGGCTTCTGGGATAGCTGCGCAGCCTGCATTCGCCCCATATGACGCACACACATTTCCCCTTACTTTTTAGGAGGGGAAAAGTGAGTCTTATAGAGCAAAAAATACGGTACATTTTGGAGGTTTCAATCAATAACCAAATAATAGATCTTATTCTAATTGACCCTGCTAAAAACCTTGCAGTTTTTGCTGTCGCCTGATCATCTTGATCTGCTAAAAAAAAGGTCACCGTAGCTGAGTGACCCAGCATGGACAATAGTAGAGGGGTAATAACCTCAGCCATGATTTGACTCATGGCTCTGAGTTTCTCATCTCTGCTTATAAGCATCGTGGTGCTCTGCTCTGGGAGGGGTGTTCCATGTTCAGAAGTTCAGGTTTCTTCTCTGGATGTTGACAAACCCTAGCGCTTTAGCATGGCCAGATCTCAACGTAAAAAGTTTTCATGTGGTGTATCCATTTAAGTTTTGCCCTTCCAAATCTACCCTGAGAGGTTCACAAGCAAAGAACCAAGAAGAGGTTTAAAGCAAGGATACATGTTTATCCCTATATGATTAAAAGGCAGATGTTGTAGCACATCAGAGTTTCAGTACAGTACAGATGTTTAGAAGTGATAAGCACATGTTTTGCATTGTTTGTTTTCAAACTGAAAGTGTTTCTGGCATGGCTAAGTCAGTTCATATTTTCCAATGTGTTCAAAGAATATTGTATGGATTGTGTCTTTTTGCTTCTTTCACAGGTGTTTGGATTTGCACAACTGTTGCTTCCTCTGTCATGAGTGTTGCTTACGTACTGTTAATGTTAGCCTGCTACAGGTATGGATAAGCTGTGGATATCCTAGGGCAAAAATAATACTGGCAATTGCCTTATCAGGATTTGGGAATGTCCACTGGGCTTGACCACTGGCACGGACATTCCCTCTTCCCCTTCAGATTTGATAACTGTGGTTAGCATGGTTTTCATATGGGCATTTTCGCTGGCGACAAACCACGGTTGACAGTGTGGGGTAATAGTGAGCTTGCTATACTGTGGTCTGGGCAAACTGTGGTTAGCGAAAATGCCAGTGGAGACATAATACTAACTGTGGCACTGCTGCTTCATCACTTGCTAGATCAGACCCTTGCTAGATCCACAAATGGAGAATGCTTTTTCATGTGGTCTTCCAGTGAAACTGCTCCAACTGTTTCCCTAACAAAGCAGCAGTAATAATAATAATAATAATAATAATAATAATAATAATAATAATTTATTATTTATACCCCGCCCACCTGGCTGAGTTTCCCCAGCCACTCTGGGCAGCTCCCAATCAAGTGTTAAAAACAGCAAGACAAGTGTTAAAAAAAGCAAGACTTTGTGGTACAGTCATACCTTGGGATGAATATGCTTCAGCTTAAATATTTTCGGGTTGTGCTCCACAGCGACCTGGAAGTAATGGAGCACATTACTTCTGGGTTTCGCCGCTCGTGCATGCGCAGACGCACAAAATGATGTCATGCGCATGCGCAGAAGTGGCGAAACGCGATCCGCGCATGCGCAGACGTGCAGTCGCGTCTTACGTTCGCTTCAGGATGCGAACGGGGCTCCGGAACGGATCACATTCGCATCCAGAAGTACCACTGTACTGTCATAAGCCGATGAAGTTGGATGGAAACTGTGGAGGGTTTTTATATGCAACAATAAAAAACTTTTTTTTTAAGGTGAGCTTGAACTGATTATTCCTGGGGAATCTGCAACTGAGCTTCTCTTGTGGTGGTGGCATATATGCCAACTCCCTGGCATCCTAGGTGCCCAAGCACCCACAAAATTGCCCACGAAGGGGCTGTTGTTGTTGTTGTTTAGTCGTGTCTGACTCTTCGTGACCCCATGGACCAGAGCACGCCAGGCACTCCCATCTTCTACTGCCTCCCGCAGTTTGGTCAAACTCATGCTGGTAGCTTCGAGAACACTGTCCAACCATCTCGTCCTCTGTCGTCCCCTTCTCCTTGTGCCCTCCATCTTTCCCAACATCAGGGTCTTTTCCAGGGAGTCTTCTCTTCTCATGAAGTGGCCAAAGTCTTGGAGCCTCAGCTTCAGGATCTGTCCTTCTAGTGAGCACTCAGGGCTGATATCCTTAAGAATGGATAGGTTGGATCTTCTTGCAGTCCATGGGACTCTCAAGAGTCTCCTCCAGCACCATAATTCAAAAGCATCAATTCTTCGGCGATCAGCCTTCTTTATGGTCCAGCTCTTACTTCCATACATCACTGCTGGGAAAACCATAGCTTTAACTATACGGACCTTTGTTGGCAAGGTGATGTCTCTACTTTTTAAGATGCTTTTTAAGATGGAGGGGCTAGGCACCCACAAATTTCAGTGCCAGGGCCATGCACGCTGCATGGCACCCATGGCCCAGGGCAATCACAGTTGCGGGGGCAAGTTGGCACTTCTGGCTGGTGGTGACGACACACAAATTTCCTTCTTCTAAGTGTGTGATAGATTCTTAGGGGGGAAGCAGCCAATGTGGTGCTCTACAAATGCCGTGGGACTACAATTCCCATCAGTCTAAACCAGCGTGGCCCGTGGTCAGGGATGATGGGTATTGTAGTCTAGCAATATCAGGAGGGCACCACGCTGCTCCTGATTTTAGGTATCTGGCTACTGATGCTAAAATCGAGACTTTCCCCTTCTTGTGTCGTGCAGATGTTAGAGGAGGTGTGAAGGTAGCCTTCCCTAACCTGGTTGCTTCCAGATGTTGTCAGACTACAATTCCTATCATCCCTGACATGCTGGCTGGGGATGATGGGACCTGCCTTTCAAAAGATCCAGATGTCACCTACTAGAGCGATGTCTCCAAACACTTTAAAAAACATTTTCCTCACTAGAAAACACATAAAGAAGCTGCGGGCAGGCAAGAAGTGCTACTTTCTGACGGAATCGGAATCGGAAACTGTGCCATCTACTCAATGTGTGGTGAGTTTTTACTCCTAACCTCCTATTTTCACCCCATATAGGAGTTTTCATTCCTATACCTGAAGGAGCATCTCCACCCCCATCGTTCAGCCCGGACACTGAGGTCCAGCTCTGAGGGCCTTCTGGCAGTTCCCTCACTGTGAGAAGTGAGGTTACAGGGAACCAGGCAGAGGGCCTTCTCAGTGATGGTGCCCGCCCTGTGGAACGCCCTCCCATCAGATGTCAAGGAAATAAAAAACTATCTGACTTTTAGTAGACATCTGAAGGCAGCCCTGTATTGGGAAATTTTTAATGTTTGATGTTTGACAATTTTAATGTGCTGTAAGCTGCCCAGAGTGGCTGGGGAAACCTAGCCAGATGGGCAAGGTATAAATATAATAATAATAATAATAATAATAATAATAATAATAATAATAAACGCCTTAAAAATCCCAGCATGGATGTGGTGGACCTGGACACCCTTTCAGTCAAAAGTCAACTTACAGTCACTTTACCAGAGCCAAGTTTTTCGCTTTGAGATTCCGGGACCTCTTCCTAGGCAGTTGAGAAAAGTAGATGGGTAGAGAACATATTTATTGTGGAATTGTTTTGATTTCATGAAAGCCCTCTTAGTTACCCCTTAGATCAACCTCCCCCAGCCTGGTCCTCTCCTATTGTTGATGGACTCCATTTCCCTGTGAGCCCTAGCCTACATGGCCAGCATTTGTGGAATTGTAGTCCTGCAAATCTGAAGGGCATCATGTTGGCTTCCCTTGCGTTAGACTGGAGTGCGGTGGAGATAGCAGAAGTCCAGAAAATGCGTTTTCATTTCCTGAAAGGGAATAACTGTTGGGATACTGCCAGGGAGACAAAGTCCATCATGACTCCACATCGTCTCTGGACGTCCATCGATCTCCCGTAGACACGCAGTATCAGCAATTAGCGACACGAGCTCCAGAAATAGCCTGCCACATTCCAGAGCTGATGCACGCTCTATCAGCAGATAATGCACAGCGAAAGATGCACTCAGGAGAGCATTATTTACAAGTTTATTCAGCGTTGATCAGAACAAAGAAAACATGACTGCCTGCTTCCGTGTCTCAGACAGAGAGAGAAACGAAAGCATAGACACAACAGAAACATCTTGTGAACAGGAAATACGCAGGCTGTGACACAAACATCCTGCTCCCTTTTAAGGTGGAACGGAAATATCCTAACAATAACAAGTCCTGCATATATTTCTATGAGACACGGGGTGGCTAACCTTTTTTTGGCCAACCCATGGGTGGGTTGCACATACTAGCAATGGATGTGGCCATCCATTTCACACACACACATTTGCACGACACACAGAGGCACATGGTTTTTGCAGATCAGTTGAGTAGAAGGGGGCTTTTGCCTATTTTGATCCATTGTCACGGGGCCCCTAAAAGGTGTTGGGATACTGCCAGGGAGACAAAGGCCACCATGCCTCCACGTCGACTCCCGGTCTCCCGTATGAACAGTATCAGTCAATTAGCGACACGAGCCTCAGAAATAACTGTCCACATTCCAGGACTCATACACGCCCTTTTCGCAGAGTTTCCAAATGGAAGATTCACCAAGGAGAGCAGCATATTTACAGCTTTATTCAGCGGTGGTCAGAACAAAGAAAAAACATGACTGCCTGCCTTCCTGTCCAGGCAACAGAGAGAAACAAAAGCTATAAACAAAGCAGAAACTTCCTGTGAGCAGGAAGTACGCAGGCTGTGACTCACAACAGCCTGTCCCCTTTTTAAGGTGGAACGGAAATATCCTAACAGGGTACAGGGCCCATAGACCAGAGCCTGCTCTGCCTGTTTGGTAATCTGGCACTGATCTGGTTCAAGGTTACCTAGCTAGCTTATTTTGTTTGTTGAAATATTTATAAACCGCTGTACCATAAAAACATATCAAAGTGGTGTACAAGTTTTTGTTTTAAATAAAACTTCATGGCTGAGTGGAGACTCTTTCCTGGATTTTCCTGGTCTTAGTCTGACACTAACGACTATACCCTGTAGATGAATTTTTGTGAACTGTGCCCATTTTCCTATATAGGAGGGTGAGGGACGCGGGTGGCGCTGTGGGTTGAAGCACAGAGCCTAGGACTTGCCAATCAGAAGGTCGGCGGTTCGAATCCCCGCGATGGGGTGAGCTCCCGTTGCTCGGTCCCTGCCAACCTAGCAGTTCGAAAGCACCTCAAAGTGCAAGTAGATAAATAGGTACTGCTCTGGCGGGAAGATAAACGGCATTTCCGTGCACGACTCTGGTTCACCAGAAGCGGCTTAGTCATGCTGGCCACATGACCCGGAAGCTGTACGCTGGCTCCCTCGGCCAATAAAGTGAGATGAGCGCCGCAACCCCAGAGTCGGCCATGACTGGACCTAATGGGCAGGGGTCCCTTTACCCTTTACCTAAGGGAGGGCAGGAGGTGCTGAACGCTCCCCCTCCCCTGAAACCCCAGCTATTTCCCCCTCAGCGGGGCTTACTTCTAGTCTCAGAACCTAACTTTGAGAAGAATGTCTGGTAAAAATCAGGTTTGTGTGATAACCCCACGTTCAATTTGTTCACACAGTCCTTTAAAGTCAATTCTCTTGCTTTATTTAGGAACCTGATTCTGACATAAGGTTACATGCTACTGTCAGGTTGGGGTTAGCCCCTTAGATTTCATATGCTACTACTACTACTACTACTACTACTACTACTACTACTAATATTTTATTACTTATACCCCAGCCATTTGACTGGGTTTCCCCAGCCACTCTGGGCAGCTTCCAACCAGAGATTAAAAATACATTAAAACATCAGTCATTAAAAACTTCCCTAAACAGGACTGCCTTCAGGTGTCTTCTAATCATCAGATAGTTGTTTATTTCCTTGACATCTGATGGGAGGGCATTCCACAGGGCAGGTGCCACCAACGAGAAGGCCCTCTGCCTGGTTCCCTGTAACATCACTTCCGGCAATGAGAGAATCACCAGAAGGCCCTCAGAGCTGGACCTCAGTGTGTAGGCTGAACGATGGGGTGGAGGCGCTCCTTCAGGTATAGGGCTTTAAGGGTCAGCACCAACACTTGGAATTGTGCTTGGAAACACAATAGTTATATTTATATTTTTTGCTTCCAAATTGTGTTTGTGGCATGCCTGCATAAACGAATCGTCCTTTCTTTTTGTCTTCATCAACAGCTAGCACTGGGAAGATTCACTGCTTACCAAATCGCATACATAATATGGGGTATGTGATAACTTGTCTCTCGGGCCTTTGGCATAAGTTCATAGGGGGCTGGTGTTACCATCCGTCTCCCCCAATTCCATGTTGACAACTTTTATCTTCCATCCAGGTTACGTGATCATGCATCTGATGCAGTTTGTAGCTGGGATGATTCTTGTGTATGTGATTATTTTGCCCATGGTACATGGTGAATGGGCCAAACTTCTGGACAAGTGGGGAACCGTGATGTAAGTGTCAGTTTTCAGAAGAATAGCTCTCTTTTCTTAAAAATAATAACAGCTTTTTATAATTTGTAAACGAAAAAAAGAAAAAGGCTAACTTCTTTTGTTAATGATTACTTTATAGTATATATTACAGTCATACCTCGGAAGTCGAACACCTTGTGAGTCGAAGGTTTTGGCGCCTGAATGCCGCAAACCCGGAAGTGAGTGTTCTGGTTTGCGAACGTTCTTTGGAACCCGAACGTCTGACACGGGTTCTGTGGGTTCCTGCAGCCAAACAGAAGCCGCAATTTGGTTTTTGAATGTTTTGGAAGTCGAACGGACTTCCAGAACGGATTCCGTTCGACTTCTGAGGTACGACTGTATTTTATATAAAGGTTTTAACAGCTAAGCACTGTACAGATTCCACTAAACAAATAAAGATTTTTTTTTAAATTCACTGATGAGGGATTGAGGATTCGAGTGATTGTTCTGTGGCATAGGAGCCAGTTCCTAGGGCCTGAGGTCCCTTTGCTCCCCCCGCATAAAATATTTGAGGGAGTCAGGCCCCCTTAAAGTTGATGGGCATGTGTTGCGTCTTGTGATCAATTGGGGGGGGGCATGGAGCAGACCCATTGAAGTTAATGGGCATGCTTATCTTAGGTCAGGCAGGTCCAAGGTCCATCTCAGGGGCCTAATCCAGCCCGCTGGTCGGTTAAATCCGCCCGCTGTGGCAGTTTACTTCCAGGGGTAAAATCCTAAAAAAACCTTAGCAAAAAAGGTCAACAACCCTCGTTGACTCTTTGGTTGGCCCTCACGGCCCTTCACTTCATCAAATCTGGCCCTCTTTGAAAAAAGTTTGTACACCACTGTCTTAGGTTCATTCATTTCAAGTAGGGAGCGGATGGAGCTGTGGTCTAAACCACTGAGCCTCTTGGCCTTGCCAATCAGAAGGTCGGCAGTTCGAATCTGCGACAGAGTGAGCTCCCGTTGCTCTGTCCCAGCTCCTGCCAACCTAATAGTTCTAAAGCATGCCAGTGCAAGTAGATAAATAGGTACCACTGCGGTGGGAAGGTAAATGGTGCTTCTGTGCGCTCTGGTTTCTATCACGGTGTTCCATTGCGCCAGAAGCAGTTTAGTCATGCTGGCCACGTGACCCGGAATGCTGTCTGTGGACAAACGCCGGCTCCCTTGGCTTGAAAAGCGAGATCAGCGCCGCAACCCCAGAATCGCCTTTGACTGGACTTAACTGTCTAGAGGGTCCTTTTACATTCATGTCAGTTGGTCTGAGTAGAACTTACCTGAAAACAACTCTATCTCCACTTCCTTGCAGTGGTTATAATTTTCTTAAAATAGTTTCATCTTCCTTTTCTGCCTCACAGTCTTTCATTTGTCCTCGTCATGCTTTTGAGGAGGCTGGAGTTGTTTGCAGGTTCTCGAGTCTTTCTTCAGCCGAAGATTTCACCAAAAGACGATCAGAGACCTCTGGCACTTGACAACAGGTTGGTATCAGGGAGTGAGACTATTCCTGGTATTCAATTCCTTGAATAAAGGTATTCCATTAGGGCACCTAGGAAAACCACGCAAGATGGGGAGATGGGAAGTCTCCCTCAGGAGGTTGTGGACTTTCCTTCCTTGGAGGGTTTTAATCAGAGATTGGATGGTCATCATGGATGCTTTTTTGTTTTTTAGATTCCTGCGTTGCAGGGGGTTGGACTAGATGACCCCTGGGTCCCTTCCAACTCTACAATTCTATGATTCTATGAGCTATCTCTGCAGCATGTTATATTTATAAAAAGGCCACCACTGATTATCTGTTTCTTCATTCGTTTTTTTAATGGTGATGAAACTCTTGCTTTCTCCCTTCCCACAATCTGAAATGTTCCCTCTGCCACAAGATTCTTCTGAACATGTTGATCAGCTCCAAGTTGCAAATCCTTCGAGTCCCTAAACAAACCTTCTATGACACCCGTAGTCCATAGTCTTTTTCAGAACCAGAATTTACCTTTAAACCCATGTTGCAAAATGGCGCCCACCTTTAATTTTTTAAATCATATATGACTCTCTGTCTCCTCCCTGTCTTCAGATTTCTGTCTCTGCTTGTCTTTTCATATTCTGGTCTGCCTATATTCCTTATTAAAAACCAATAAACCAGGCATAATGAACTTAGTGCTCTTCAGATACTGTTGTACTACAATTCCCATCATCTCTGACCATTGACTATGCTGACTGAGGCTGATGGGAGTTGCTAGTCCAATAATGTCTACTTTGACTCCCCCTGCTGCAAACAAAGGGAACTGCAATGGCGCCGCTTGTGTAATTCAAGTCAAAGTGCTACCCTCTTGTATTCCAGGAGAGGTGATTAATGGGGTGAAATCACTTATGTCTATTTCCCGTTATTTACATGCATTTGTATATCTGTATTTTCTTGGAAGCAACAGGCTCTTTCTAATACCTTCTTGCGGTCCAGGGTTAATGCAGTAAAGCTTTTTCAACCGTTCAACAAGTACAGTTATTCAAATTCAACAACTTTAATTATATAGTACTATATGACCTTTATTTCCTTAAGCTACGCGCAGGAACAATCACTAAGCATTTCTGAATATTGTAGCAAACTCAGTGCAACCGCACCTGCCTTCAAATTCAGACTTGGAGAATATTTATGCTTTGGTCTGAGCTATGTTTGCCGTAGTTCAAAAGCAAATACATCTGGTCCTGCCTCCAGTTTTTTTCTGTGGGGGTGACTGTGGAACTGCTCAGATGAGACATCTCTTCCTTTTCAGGAAAGCCTTTGTAAACTTCAGCTACTTTTTATTCTTCCACTCGGTGGTGGTGGGTTTGTTTTCCTGCCTCATGAGAGTGTTACGCAGCACTGTCCTGGGAGCCTTCCTGATTGGACGATTGGACAGGCCAGTGATGCCAAAGGGCTTTGAAGGCTGTGATAAAGGTAAGCACCCCGAGAGACGGATGCTGTGGATACTGGGAAGTTCTCAAAATACGGAACCGACCTACATTTCCAATGCATCGTGGCTTCATTGTGGGGATGGAAGGGTGCATTTGGCATCAACAGGTGAATGGTGTTTATTTCACTGTAGCACACACGTCTTGGGTTGCAATGCTCTTGATGGACCACTACCACTCAAACCCCATCCTTGTCTGCTTCTGCCACATCCTGGATACCAAAATCAGACAGAGGCAATGGCAAAAAGTCAATGGACCCACCGAAAACACGGACATGCGGGAAATAGGTAAACTATCAGAAATGCTGGGAGTCTATTTAACAAAGCTTATATGTTTGTGTGTCTCTAGCTGTTTCCTTCCTTCTTTCTTTCTTTCTTTCTTTCTTTCTTTGATATACTGCCCTTCCCCCAAGGATGACAGGGCGATTTACAGTACAGTCAAACCTTGTTTCCCGAATGCCTCTGTTATTCTATGTTTCGGCTCCCGAATGCCAAAACCCCGGAAGTAAATGTTCCAGTTTTCAAATGATTTTCGGAAGTCGAATGTGCTACACAGCTTCCATTTTGAGTTTCCCTATTGTATCGAGGCTTCCGCTTTCAGTTTTTGGTTGTCAAACATTTTGGAAGTCAAACGGCCTTCCGGGACAGATTACATTCGACGACCAAGGTTTGACTGTATTAAAAATATGTAACATAGTAACAAGCAAAACAATAACACACACACACACTCCATAGTTTAAAAGGCCATTGATTAATTAGCCAAAGGCCTGGGAGATGAGGAATGCTTTTGCCTGGTACCTAAAGATATGTTTCGCAAATCGTAACTCTGCAGTTGTGAGGATGGCTCCAAATATCGCTACCACCAAGGAACTGAAAAAACGTACACATTAAAAACTGTTTGTCCTGGATGTTTTCTAATTCTTAAAAACCCAAGCCCTTCTTCCCAAGAACAGAAAGTTCAGAAATTCAAAATTTGTTCTGGGCTAGCAAGGGCCAATGGGATGCAGGTGGCCCAGGACTTGCCAATCAGAAGGTCGGCAGTTTGAATCCCCGCGACGGGGTGAGCTCCCATTGCTTGTCCCTGCTCCTGCCAACCTAGCACTTCGAAAGCACCCCAAAGTGCAAGTAGATAAATAGGTACCGCTCCGGCAGGAAGGTAAACAGCGTTTCCATGTGCTGCTCTGGTTCGCCAGAAGCGGCTTAGCCATGCCGGCCACATGACCCGGAAGCTGTACGCCGGCTCCCTCGGCCAATGAAGCAAGATGAGCGCCGCAACCCCAGAGTCGGCCACAACTGGACCTAATGGTCAGGGGTCCCTTTACCTTTACCTAGCAAGGGACAAACAAAAAAGACATGTGCCCCACTTATTCTTAGATTGCCAACTTTTTCATCAGCCCACTGCTCCTGGGCCTTGTAACAGCAGTTGGATGTGAGGACATTATCAGCGTCTATGCCATGAAAAGCTTCCGCTACTGATTTCTGCTGAGCAAGCAGCTTTTAAGTGCATAAGAGCCGGCCAGTCCCACCCCACCCCCACCCCCGGCCAGTTGGCAACACTACATATTCTTTGAAAACCCCATTCACTCACAGCAGCACTGGTCACATTCCATTCTAGAGTTTTGTTTTGTTTTGAAAGTCTCTGCTATCCCAGCTGTACGATTCGCTGTCCAAACAGTGAATGTTATAAGTACTGTATGTGACTGAGTTTGACAGGTTGGCTAGTTGGTCCAACCAGGGCCAACCCATCCATGAGGCAGCAGATCCCAATTATTCTTCCCTTGTTCCTGATGTAGATCTCCACTCATCTCTTGTTGCCTGATGGGGAGGGAGGCACCATTTTGTGGTTTGCTTCAGGAGCCAACCCTAGGTCCAACCTACCAGACACCAATTTCAAATGTCTTTTGTGGTTGTACTGAAGGGCCATTAAAATGTTGTTCTCTATATGATCCCAAAAACTCTTTGAGGCATTTCCTCCTCTCTCATGTGTTATCCCAAAACCCCTACCTTTAAGGGGGGGGGGGAGGTTGTTACACCAGCCACAAGGACAAGGCTTTTTCTTGTTGCTTAGATGTTACAGTGAAAATAGGCCTCTCTCAGGAATGTCTGGCAGAGATCAAGAGCAAGGTTGAATGGATGTTATTGTAACCCCAGAGGGAGGGAGGCTGAAACAGGAGGAAGGAGGGACTGGAAATAAAGCTAAATTCTATACCATTTCCCGTAAATCACGTGTTTTCTGGGAAATCAAATGATCATCCGTCCCAGAGGGTATAAAAAAGGCTGGCAAGCCCAGAGAAGGGGGGGCAGGCAATGAGCATTAGCTTGTCTGTACCATTTTTGTCACGGCAAAATAAATAATTATTTTACTGCAGTCAATTGACTCTTTGAAAGCGACTTCTGAGTGCTCCAAGGGAAAGGAACAAAAGGAAAGGTCTTTCAGAACAGTCATTAGTCTGCCCCAGGGTGGGTTACGACAATTAGAAGCCTAATTTTTAAAAAGGATTAGCATTCAAGTGAATAGGGTTGGTCCTAAGATATGTACAGTGGTACCTCGCAAGACGAATGCCTCGCAAGACAAAAAACTCGCTAGACGAAAGGGTTTCTCGTTTTTTCAGCTGCTTCGCAAGACGATTTTCCCTGTGGGCTTGCTTCGCAAGACGGAAACGTCTTGCAAGTTTGTTTCCTTTTTCTTAACACCGTTAATACAGTTGCGACTTGACTTCGAGGAGCAACTCATAGAACGCGGTGTGGTAGCCTTTTTTGGGGTTTTTAAAGACTTTGGTGATTTTTGAAGCTTTTCCAAAACTTTCCCGACACCATGCTTCGCAAGACGAAAAAAATCGCAAGACGACAAAACTTGCGGAACGAATTAATTTCGTCTTGCGAGGCACCACTGTATTTCAGGTATCAAAGGCCAGGGTAAAGAGGTGCGTTTTCAGCCTCTGATGAGAGTGGCTTAATGAAAGCGCCAGACACACATCTGTGGGAAGGGAATTCTACAACTTTGGGGCTGCTACAGTGAATGCCTTCTCTAGGGCTGCCATCCCATAAACAGCTGAGAGTGATGGAACTACCAGGAGGGTCCCCTCCGCTGATTTTGACCTCCACGATGGTCTGGAGGGAAGGAGGTGGTCTTGCAGATATTTGGGGCCTAAAGGTACAAATAATAAATTATTACTATTACCTGGAAACAAAATGGAAGCCTTATAAATAGAGGTTGTGGTGCATGCATGTTGCTGATGTTTGAAAATTTAATTGTCAGTCTTGTTTTTAGCTCCCAGGGTATCAGGTAGAGCCAGGAAAAGATGGCTGTTGCTTTACACGCTTTTGAACAACCCCAGTCTCCTGCAATTCCGGAAGCGAAGACTAGGATCTAATCCTGTGGATTTTCCACAGCCCTGTGCTGTCCCTCCAGGCGATCATTCGACAGGCCAATTGGTGCGCTGGGATCATCATGTTTAATATGTGGACTCTACGTGGACTGTAGAGATGCCGTTCCTGATGGTGCAACGACAAAAGCGGCGCAAGTTATACTTGCTGAGAGTTGCATTTATTGACAGCTTGTTCCATACGGCTTTCTAAAAAGATAACCTGTTGTATTTCCACCACATTATGCGTCATGCCTTCCCTCCACATGAACGCCTGGTCTGCCTGCCTGATACAATCGTTCATAAACTATACACAAGCCATTGTCTCCAGGAAGATTTAGGTAATCTCTTTGAAGACCACACAAGCATGCACTTTTTGTGTGTGCTGTCCCTACAATTATTTGACACTTTCCCCCCTGGCTAGACCCAGGGCTGTGCAAAGCTGGTAATGGGCCCAGGCTGGACAGAAAATGTAGGCCCCATTTCAAACTGCTCGTGTCGTGCATAAAAAGGTAAAGGTAAAGCGACCCCTGACCATTAGGTCCAGTCGTGACCGACTCTGGGGTTGCGGCGCTCATCTCGCTCTATAGGCCATGGGAGCCGGCGTTTGTCCGCAGACAGCTTCCGGGTCATGTGGCCAGCATGACTAAGCCACTTCTGGCAAACCAGAGCAGCGCACGGAAACACCGTTTACCTTCCCGCCGGAGTGGTATCTATTTATCTACTTGCACTTTGACGTGCTTTCGAACTGCTAGGTTGGCAGGAGCTGGGACTGAGCAACGGGAGCTCACCCTGTCACGGGGATTCGAACCGCCGACCTTCTGATCAGGAAGTCCTAGGCTCTGTGGTTTAACCCACAGCGCCAACAAGTAACAGAACAGAACAAATACTCAAAGTCGGCCTCCTCAGAATCATAGGCCTGTGCCAATTACTCCCCGCCCCAGCATCTTGCTCTGTTCTGCCCTGCCCTGCCCAGACCAGGGGATCTAGAATGAAAGCACATCTGAGGTTGGAAATCAAAGTAGAGTCAGTGACACTGTTTTAATAACAATGAGTTTTTGTTTTTTTTCCAAGTTGCCAAATTGGAATCCTGAGTTTCCAAACCAGTGACTTGAGCTGGTGCGTGCATGATTCCAAAACTGCTTTCAGATGATTTGTTCTCAAGGTTCCTTCATTAGTTCTACTCGCTGAAAGTTTTCTTTAAAAATGTTTGACGTTTTACTATGTTTTTATATGTGTTGTAAGCTGCCCAGAGTGACTGGGGAAACCCAGCCAGATGGGCTGGGTATAAATAATAAAATTATTATTATTATTATTATTATTATTATCATCATTATTATTCAGCTGCTTCCAAAGCTGGTTGTACTGTACACTTACTGGTGTAGCTGAGCCTACATAATGAAAACCTTGCTTTTTCTTGCTGTGTCTTCCATTGAAATTGATTTTGAGTTCATGTTGCTATGTTTACTGCTGACAGATGGGGAAATAATTTGGGATGTTCCATTAGGACTTTCTTATTCTGCGTTCTCGACGTTGGTGGACTACAACTCCCATAGCCCTGACCACCAGCCATTCTGGCTGTGGCTGATGGGGAATGGAGTCCAACAACACCTATAGGTGGCAGAGGTTCCCCATCCTTCACATCACATGTATGCACTTTTACCAGGGTATTATTCTTATGTACGGTAGGGGAACTCATAGTCCTTCAGATCTTGGTGGACCACAGCCAGTGCCAGATTTATGTACAGGCTAAGTAGGCTGAAGCCTAGGGCCTCTAAATCTAGGGGGCTTCGCCAGCCCTCCCACTCCCAAAATTGCAAACCCAAGACTTCATGTGAGGGCAGGACAACTCGGGTCTCTAAATCTAGGGGGCCTCACCAGCCTGCCCGCTCCCCAGTGCCGCAGTCTCCCCTCTCCCAAAACTGTAAACCCATGGCTTCATGCAAGGGCAGGGCAACTCAGGCCCAGCAACTATGAGACTCAGGGCTAGCCAGTGGGGCCCAATTTGAAGCACTGGGGTGCAACTTGAAATTTTTTTTGTAGGGCCCCAGTTCACAGCCAAAGTCTGCAAAATCCATCTAGATTGCCCTAGTGCAGGGCCCCCCTTAGGAGCGGCCCGTGGGGCCCAATTTGGCCCAGTTGCTCCAATTGCCTTAAGGTCAGCCCTGATGAGACTGTGCAGGGGTTGGACTGACAAGCCCTGCACCTTCTAGGTCCCTGGTGTCACCATTCAGAGTACAAACTCAAGGGCTTGTTATGGAAATAAAGGGGGGCACTTATTGGTAATCAGTTTTGTCACCTCTTCCCCTGCAAACGCAGAGACAATGAGCCCAGCCACCTTTTATTCACAGTCACATAAGCACTACACTACAGCATGGCCATAAACATGTACGTTCAACTGCTGAAATATACACCCAATATGTAGCAATGCAGATTTATGTTACCGCTTTATGAATGAATACTTTTTTAATGAATGGACTCTGTGTTTTGTGAATTACCTAAGAGCCATCAATAGGAAGCTCTAGAATCTGACAGCTAACCAATTGGGTACTACCAAACAGTGACCCCTATTGCTGAAAGCAGGTAACCAGCAGGGAATGCTTCAGCTCAGCCTTTGCACTGTTGACTGAACACCCCCTGCTGTGCAGATAATGGAGAAAGCTTGTAAACTGTATCCTGTAAAGGTGGCGTTTCCCTTTCGCATTAACACTCCGGCACAGTCAACATTAGTATTTACAGTCTTTATTACATATATACAAAAAACAGTTACACTTCATAATTATGCGCCCGAACCCGTTGAGTCAGATTCAGGGAGTGGCTTCCCACGATTCCCGTGCCAACAAACTAGGAGTGGGAATTGTGTGAGACATCTTTAATCCTTACGTTTCATTTCCCTCCTTGTCTGTGCTGATTTGAAAGCCCCCTCCCTTCCTGAGTCTAAGCTTCCTTCCTGAGCCTCTGAGGGGTTGCAGCATCTCTGAACCCCTGTTCCACCTCTTCTGTCCATTGCTTCTCCGAATCATCCCTGACATCTCCCTTCTGGCATCTTGGTCAACTCATTTACGCTGGTGTAAACCCTGGTGCACCAGAAGCACAGAATAGAAGCAAATAAAATCCGCTCATATGTCAGCAACTGATAAGACTTGTTCTTCCAAAGTCTTCCTAAATTATAAAGCTCCAAAATGCAGGCCAAAAGGTCTGGGAAGAGTGAGGCATACAATGGGCACCACCAGTGAAAAGGCCCTGTTCTGTGTAGCTCCTGCCCTGTCATTTGATAGAGTGCCCACTCGCCCTCCTTCTTGACATGGAATGCTCTCTATTGGAGTCTCCAGGTCCAGTATAAAGACCATAAAAAGGGAGAGCAGGGACCTTGAAGTTCCCAACAGCTGTTAATCAAGCAAGCAAGCACACAGGTCACCTTTGTTACAGTCAAGATGCCTATGTTCTGGCCAGGCCTGCACCCAACCTTGTTTTTGTACAATCTTGTTTGTCCTCTGTAACCAAAATTATATTATCAACATATACAAGCAGAAGAAGAAGAAGAAGAAGAAGAGTTTGGATTTGATATCCCGCCTTTCACTCCCTTTAAGGAGTCTCAAAGCGGCTAACATTCTCCTTTCCCTTCCTTCCCCACAACAAACACTCTGTGAGGTGAGTGGGGCTGAGAGACTTCAAAGACGTGTGACTAGCCCAAGGTCACCCAGCAGCTGCATGTGGAGGAGCGGGGACGCGAACCCAGTTCCCCAGATTACGTGACTACCGCTCTTAACCACTACACCACACTGGCTCTCAGAAAAGTTGTTTTCCTTCATTTGCAAGGAATCGTACAAAACAAAGTGGCACTAATAAAGAAAAGTTCCAGGGTGGCAACAGCAAGCAAACTAAACATGCATTTGCAGTTCATCAAAACTATCCAGCAATATCAAGTTATAGGAAAACTGGTGCTATTAACAGTAATCCTTCTAGTTTGTTAATTGGTTTGGCTATGAGTTGGCTATGAGTTGGTTAATTGGTGAGCTATGAGATTCAGGTGAGGGTCAGATGCCTTGTCAATCCCAGCAGGTATATAAGAGGACGACCCAGCCTTTTGGAGGAAGGGGAAACAGGAGTGTTACACATGTTTCCTGCAGCACACATGTTATTGATAGCCATGATATATGGTAAATGTAAAGACTATGGGGTTGCAGTGCTCATCTCGCTTTCGGGCAGAGGGAGCCAGCGTTTGTCCACAGACAGCTTTCCAGGTCATGTGGCCAGCATGACTAAACCACTTCTGGTGCACGGAACGCCGTGACAGAAGCCAGAGCGCACAGGAACGCCGTTTACCTTCCCGCCACACCAGTACCTATTTATCTACTTGCACTGGTGTGCTTTTGAACTGCTAGGTTGGCAGGAGCAGAGACAGAGCAACAGAAGCTCACCCCATCACGGGGATTCGAACCGCCGACCTTCTGATCGGCAAAAGCCCAAGAGGCTCGGTGGATTAGACCACAGCACCACCCTGATCCTATGATATATGGATGCAGATGCAACACCAGTGAATACCTGTCTTGGCAATTTGGGCTGGACATTTTAGGTGTAAAAGGGAAGTGTGCCTCCAATTTGTTTTGGGGTTTGTGGAGAAGGACAATGAAAAAGTATTGTTGCACCTGAAAGCACTTAAGAAAGCTATTATGGCATAAACTATCATGGATTAAAATCCCAGATAGACTGAAAATTTAAAACAACTTCAAAGCTTCATTTATACTATCAGTAACCTTGATACCCAGCCAAAATGTCCTTTGCGGCTGCTTAGTGACCGCATATCAGAAAGGATACGTTTGTGTGGACCTTTCTTCCTACACAGGCTAAGAACAAAAAAGCAGGATAGGAGCGAGTTGTGACGATCATGCTGGAACCATGATGCAAGCCGTTTGGACTTTGCTACTTAACACTGGGCCTACATAATGGATCTTCTCTTGCATGTGAAGAGGGCAATATGGAGAACAACCTGGATTTTGGCAATGGATGCTGCTGCTTTGCGATCTCTATAAAAGCATTTATTTCTCTGTTCCAATCCAGAGAAGGCAACACTCCAAAACACATGTCTGTAGCACCGTTTTCTCTTCTGCCTGGCCTTTTCCCTATTTCGGATGTCTAGCCAGGCTCCTTTGCATTTGTGACTATCAGGCTTCATTAATGTGTGGCTCCAAAATTCCGGATCCACCCCCCAAAAAAAATCTGACGCAAAGGTTTTGTGCTAGTCTTGTGCCATTTTGTTCTGCAAAACCTACATTTTGTGCCATAGGGATACCCCCAAACTCAACCTTGTCCGATTGCCAACGTGGAGTGTTATTTGGTGCCATTTTGTGCGACATATCCTGCTTTCCGCACTGCCCCCAAACTGTCTTGTCTTGACACACAGAGCATGTCTTGACACACACAAAAGCATGTCATGTCATGACATGATTGTTATGTCCTGTCATGACGCACAAGGCATGTCACAACATAAGGCACATCATGTGTGTCATGACATGCCTTGTCCATCATGACATGGTGGACATGTAATGACATGCCTTGTATATCATGACATTACCTTCATTGTTGTACATTGTCATTTTGTTGGCACGGTTCGAGTGGGCTGCGTGATCACCTCTGTTAATTGCTGCAGCGGTGTCAGTAATTCAGGAAACTTCTCAACAGGCAGGCTGCAGGATATGCAACATTTTCTTTATGCTCGTATGAAGTAAATATTTAACCCGATGTTTGCTTTCTGTCCATGGCAAGCTCAGTGGGTGTTGCAAACTGACACAGGCTTCCCTTTGGAATCCCAGGGAAAATCCCAGGGAAGACTGCACTGCACAATTCCTGCTGAAAGAGAAAGAAGGCAGAGAGAAACCGGATCCCTGGCACGTGAATAGTTGGGCTTAGATGTGCCTCTGGAATTGAGTGCAGAATTGCTCAGCATGGCCGCTGAGGCATGGTAAGTTTGAGCGGGGAAGTATCAGCTTGGGGTGCATTCTCCTGCCCTTAGTAATTCTGGGTTCTAGATAACTCCAGTATTGAATCAACCGCAACCCATGAGAAGACAGAGCTATGCATTCCCAAATAAGAATAGGATCCTTTGCTTCATGGTTGCCTGTTAATGCTGTTAACAGAGAAATCTGAGGGCTCCTTTGGACAAAAAGGAGCCAGGAATACTAGAGCAAAACAGCAGCCAGTAGGCTTGGTCTTTATTGAAGACTGTCGTGATAGGACTCCAACCTACCACCAGGTGGAACAAGATGGAAGCCCCGAACAAAAGAGCCCCCAAACTTTTATTAGCTGCTAATCCCCATGTTACCCCCCCCCCAAACTACATCACGGTTACATCATGAAAGGGGAGGTCTGGTGGCAGTAATCTGAGCATCCTGGACCCTGCCCCATGGTTCTCCTTGCCCTCCACCAAACACCCATCAAGTGTAACAAAAAGGATATTTACATTTCCCTGTTTCCCAGCCAAGTTAATCCCACCCTTTTGTTTTCATCTCGGTTTGTTATTTCTGGAATGGCTACCTGTCTGGCACTCAGGTATCAGGATGCCAGGGATTATCACTCAGGCAGAGGGGCTGCTGAGTAGCTGAGCTCACATGTCTATATGAATTTCTGAAGTTTTCCAGTGAGCCAGTACATAGATACATTTATCAGTGAATTCTTACATTTGGTATCGTGCAGCAAAGGCCCTATGAATAGATAGGAAGAAACTGTGATGAAGTGTTTTGTGGGGACAAATCACAAAAGTCACAAAAGCGATTGTGCTGGTTTTGGTAGTGGGCTGCATGTGCATGATATCTGCTGGAGGGGGAAACCCCCCCCCAACCTATACATAAATTCCTGCAACAATGCTAAAGTGGGGAAAATTGAGGTCAGTTGCAGAGTATCACCAGTCAATGGGAGAAGGGGCATAACTACCATCTCCTACCCTCTGAGTGTCCCTATTTTCCAGGGTCAGCCCTGGAATTACAGAAGCCATCCCAGCTTCCAATTTGATCTCAGAATGTCCCTATTTCCCCCACCAGTGCCACTACCACCGAGCTCAGAGAGGAGGATGAATTGGCGCTTGTCTTAAATGGTGACAGCAGCAGCTATGAGGGAGCACCCTGTTGCCTCTCCACAGCCACCGTAGCTGGCCTCCTCCTTTGGGCAGCGGGTAGTGGTTGCTGGAGAGCAGGTGAAGAGGAAGAGAGGCTGCCACTGACATGGCCCACCCTTGCCAGACGTGCCACCTCTGAGATGCAGGGAGAGGGCAGGGCCACCGTAGGCAGAAAAAGGGGGGGAGAGGAGAGGAGCACAAGGAGTTTTGAATATATTTTTTTAAAAAAAAGAAGCCATAAAGAAGGCTGATTGCCGAAGAATTGATGCTTTTGAATTATGGTGCTGGAGGAGACTCTTGAGAGTCCCATGGACTGCAAGAAGATCAGACCTCTCCATTCTTAAGGAAATCAGCCCTGAGTGCTCACTGGAAGGACAGATTGTGAAGCTGAGGCTCCAATACTTTGGCCACCTCATGAGAAGAGAAGACTCCCTGGAAAAGACCCTGATGTTGGGAAAGATGGAGGGCACAAGGAGAAGGGGACGACAGAGGACAAGATGGTTGGACAGTGTTCTCGAAGCTACCAGCATGAGTTTGACCAACCTGCGGGAGGCAGCGGAAGACAGGAGTGCCTGGCGTGCTCTGGTCCATGGGGTCACGAAGAGTCGGACATGACTAAACAACTAAACAACAACAACATTTTAAAAAATGCTTTGTGCACCTGCGTCTAATCTTGCCCCTTTCTAAAATTCATTTAATAATAATAATAATATTAATAATAATTTTTATTTATACCCCACCCTTCCCAGCCAAGGCCAGGCTCAGGGCAGCTAACAAGCAATAATAAAAACAAGTTGAATGAATACAACTTAAAAACAAGATTAAAAAACAACATTAAAATATTGAAACATTAAAATATTAAAATGCAGCCTCATCACAGGAGGAGAAAGGAAAAAGAAAGAGGGGGAGGGGGAGTGTGCAGTGTTCTTTTTTAAAATCTACCAAAGACTAAAATTAAATTAAATTGGGGCGTTTCTCAGGATGGTGGAGTGCACGTGTGCTGCGTCCTGTGGGTGAAGTGGCGGCGGCCCTTCTTCTGATAGGAAATGCTCTGTGGGGAGGGGGGATGGCGACAAAAAATGGGGGGTCAAATAGAGGGTCAGTTGCTGGATGTATGTGTGCGAAAAATGTCCCTATTTTCATCTGAGGAATGTTAGAGGGTATGCAATCTATTTCTCCCCTGTAAATGCTCTCCCGGAATTAGCCAGACTGGGGGAGAAATAGATGAGTTGGGGGCATTTGTTAGGACAAATCAGTGGATGAGTTTAAACAGTTACCGTATTTTTTGCACCATAACACTCACTTTTTTCCTCCTAGAAAGTAAGGGGAAATGTCTGTGCGTGTTATGGAGGAAATGCCTACGGGTGGCATGCCTACAGATTTTCCTTCTCTAAAAACTACATGCGTGTTATGGTCGGGTGCGTGTTATAGAGCGAAAAATACGGTACTTCCCACTGTTTATTGTAACAGGGAGAGCTGGAGGCAGGTTTGGGAGTCCCTGCTTTTCAAAGCAACGCTCTCCGTCCCTCCTGTCCTCTTCTTCTTTAAAGGTAAAGGTAAAAGGACCCCTGACCATTAGGTCCAGTTGTGGCCGACTCTGGGGTTGTGGCGCTCATCTCGCTTTATTGGCCGAGGGAGCCGGCGTACAGCTTCCGGGTCATGTGGCCAGCATGACTAAGCCACTTCTGGCAAACCAGAGCAGCGCACGGAAACGCCGTTTACCTTCCTGCTGGAGTGGTACCTATTTATCTCCTTGCACTTGGTGCTTTCAAACTGCTAGGTTGGCAGGAGCAGGGACCGAGCAACGGGAGCTCACCCCGTTGCGGGGATTTGAACCGCCAACCTTCTGATCGGCATGTCCTAGGCTCTGTGGTTTAACCCACAGCACCACCCGCGTCCCTCTTCTTATTTACACACTTCCAAATCTGTCTCCTGGTTTGTTGGGGGGGGGCAGCATCAAAATGTGTGGTTCGTTGTGAAAAGTACTGTGTGCTTTTGGTGGTGGTTTGCTTGTTTGCTGGCGACACACAATTTCTTCCCTTGAAATCTCCTACCTTGTAACTGCGGAGCTGCATGGTCTTTGATGGGTTATTCTTCATATGGGACCGCCTCTCCTGGTATGCCCCGCGGAGGACCTTAAGGTCCACAAATGACAACACCTTGGAGGTCCCAAGTCCCAAGGGAGTTAGATTGGTCTCAACTAGGGCCAGGGCCTTTTCAGTACTGGCCCCGACTTGGTGGAACGCTCTGTCACAAGAGACTAGGGCCCTGCAGGACTTGACATCTTTCCGCAGGGCCTGCAAGACAGAGCTGTTCCGCCTGGCCTTTGGTTTGGACTCAGTCTGACCATTATGTTTCCCTCCCCTTATGGTTTTGATCTATGGCCTACTAATAAAATGAGGCTGCATTTTAAATTATATTTTAACCTGTATTTTAATATTTTTTTTTATAAATTGTAATTTTACTGGTGTTAGCCGCCCTGAGCCTGGCTCTGGCTAGGGAGGGCGGGAAATAAATAAATAAGTAAATAAATAAATAAATAAATAAATAAATATTATTAGCGTCATTCATGACTAACCCATGTTTGGGAGCGTTATTTCTTCCTCCTTTGCCAGCCCTGCAATGCTGCTCATAATAATATCAAGTTGAAATGGCTCTCGTTGGTTTACAGAGCTTTGAAGAGGGTTCTGACTGGAGAAAACGAAAAAATAGTACCAGGTTCCTCCGAACACTGTCAATAAGATTAGCGTCTCATTATCTTGACCTTTGCCTGTCTCTCAATGGCACTTTGCAGATGTTTAACTTCAAGGAATGTTTTCTCCTGTCAGTAGAAGCAGAAAGAGAAAGAGAACCAGGAATGGCTGTTTATTGCAGAAAGGGGAAACATGAAAACAGTCTGTTTCTTCATATATACATAAAAAGGCAAAGCTGTCATTGTGCGGCCTCTCCCCCCCCCCCCATTTGTAGAGCTGCATCACAATCCTGATTTTGCATGAAGTGAGGGGAGGGGAGGAAAAGAGAAGGCAGATTGCACAACTGCAGTGAGGGGGGAGATAAGCTGAGAGAAAAGCAGCGTTTTTCAACAACAGCAGAGGTTTGAGTAAAGCAGGGATGGAGAGACACTGAGGGGGCGTGGAAGTTTGAATACAGTGAGACGGGAGTTGGGAAAAGCCCTGTTATGTCAGCATTTTGGTCTTAGCTTATGTGTTGTATCCATCTCTGCTGTTTCTCCTTGTTAAATGAAAACAAAAACCCCTCAGTGTCCCTCAATCCCTTGAAATAAAAAAAATTAAGGTCTTATTTGTTGTTGTTTAGTCATTTAGTCCGGCTCTTCGTGACCCCCTGGACCAGAGCACGCCAGGCACTCCTGTCTTCCACTGCCTCCCACAGTTTGGTCAAACTCATGCTGGTAGCTTCAAGAACACTACCCATCCATCTTGTCCTCTGTCGTCCCCTTCTCCTTGTGCCCTCCATCTTTCCCAACATCAGGGTCTTTTCCAGGGAGTCTTCTCTTCTCATGAGGTGGCCAAAGTATTGGAGCCTCAGCTTCACAATCTGTCCTTCCCGTGAGCGCTCAGGGCCGATTTCCTTCAGAATGGAGAGGTCTTGCTGTCCATGGGACTCTCAAGAGTCTCCTCCAGCAGTGGCGTAGCGTGGGGGGTGCAGGGGGTGCCGGCCGTACCGGGCGCAACATCTGGGGGGGGCGCGCTCGCACTCGCAGCTCTCTGCCCCTACCTGGCTCACTCTCTCTCTCTCACTGCAGTGCTGGCTGTGCGAATCCGATCCGAGCCGCTGGGTCGCCGCCCACTGTGGAGGGGGTGGGTGCCAGGCGTGCGGTGTGGAGAGAGAGCGAGGGACTATCTGGGGGAGGGACAGTGCAGCGGCCGCCCAGCGCAGCGCTGAGCGCGGGAGAGAACCACACCAGACCAGCCCAGGCAGCAGCAAGAAGAAGCTGGCAGCGGCGGCAGGTTAGGGGTTAGGGGGCGCAAATTACTTGCCTTGCACCGGGTGCTGACAACCCGCTGTCCTCCAGCACCATAATTCAAAGGCATCAGTTTTTCGGTGATCAGCCTTCTTTATGGTCCAGCTCTCACTTCCATACATCACTACTGGGAAAAGCATAGCTTTAACTATACGGACCTTTATACATATAATAAATGTACCAAATGTACATACGTAAATATATAAACCACATGTCTGAAGCAGCATAGGAAAAACAGCCCTGTAACCATTTTTTACTCACAAACTGACCAAATGTTTGCTCTGCAAAATCAAATGGAAAAGCCTCCCCATTGTCTTTTCCTTCACAAATCCTGTCTTAAGGGTATGTCTGTGTCTGAATAGGGTGAGCCTGTGACCTGGCTCAGGAACTACGGTAAGTATTTATCATTACAAAAGACTGGCCAGGCTCCCCAGGGTATCCAATCAAGTAAGCATTAACAGGTAACTTGCCAGACAGGAGGTAAACAACCCACTAAGATTATGAGGTAAACAACCCACTCGGATTTCTGCTGTAGTCCACCCTTCTGTGATGTAGGCATGATGTTTCTGGGGGTGGTCTTGGACTCCAAGGTGGGCAATTTAAAATGTCTATATAAGGGCAGACACACCTTTGTTCTGGGTCCTCCTCCTTCTCCTGCGTGTGAAGGGGGCACCCTGTTTCAACAGTTCAATAAAGATCAGGCTTACTAGCTGCTTTTGCTTCTCAATATTCTCTGGTTGGCCTCTGTTCTTATCTCCGACCGATGGAGAACCTACAAAGGACTCTCTATAAGGGCTCTTGTGTCCCCCATAAGGGAATAAGGGCAGATTTTCATTTATTACAACCTACATTACTCAAACCCACCCATGCAGATTGGAGACATCTGTGCATTACCTGTCTTTTGACAGCCAAGTAGCTTCACCTGCTATTCTCATTTTTTCTATGTAGTCCAGACACAATCTAGATCTATTGCCTATTTGTTGCCCCTGAAAATGGTTTCTTTCCAAATGCATAAGCTTAGCCATTGTCGAGATTTTCTCCAGCTCCAGAGCTTATGAAACAACTTTAAGGGAAATGGAATTTTCATCTAGCTTTCAGATAATTTTTTTAATCTACATTTGTGTTTCCTGAGCAGGCCATTGAAAAATGAAACCTGCACAAGTTCAGTGGACATGGAACTCTTCCTGCATTGTTCACTTCTTCCATCGGTAAGTTGAGTAATCTGACTGCCAACTCGCAATTGGATGGTAGTCTGTCCCTTGACATGTCTGCATTCATTTCCCCCCTTCTTGTAGATTGCCATCATTGTGGTGCTGTCCTGCCTTGAGAAAAGAGCTAGGAGAAGCTGGCTAGATGAAAAATGGCCTCTTCTCAACAGGAGATGCGGAATGGTCATGTGAGTCTCCCTGAAAGGCACTTTGCTGCGGTAACCGTAAACTGGTCACAATGAGACCATTGCCTCAGAGCACCTTTGGCCACTGGTTCACAGCAAAAGGGTTTAGGCTGAAGAAAGAGGAGTGCAGAAAACTTGGCAGAAGAACTGGTGTGTGTGTGTGTGTGTGTGTGTGTGTGTGTGTGTGTGTCCCCTGTATAATTGCTTTATTTCCCACTGGTTAATTCTTTTACCAACACTAGTTGTATTGCTAATAATAATAATAATAATAATAATAATATTTATTTATACCCCACCCATCTGCCTGGGTTTCCTCAGCCACTCTGGGTGGCTCCCAACAGAATATTATTAATAATAATAATACAGTGGTACCTCGGGTAACATACGCTTCAGGTTACATATGCTTCAGGTTACACACTCCACTAACCCAGAAATAATGCTTCAGGTTAAGAACTTTGCTTCAGGATAATAACAGAAATCATGCTCCAGTGGCGCAGCGGCAGCAGGAGGCCCCATTAGCTAAAGCGGTGCTTCAGGTTAAGAACAGTTTCAGGTTAAGAACGGACCTCCGGAACGAATTAAGTACTTGACCCGAGGTATCACTGTAAAGCGATAAAACATCAAACATTAAAAACTTCCCTGAACAGGGCTGCCTTCAGATGTCTTCTAAAAGTCAGATAGGTGTTTATTTCTTTGACATCTGATGGGAGGGTGTTCCACAGGGCGGGCGCCACTACTGAGAAGGCCCCCTGCAAACCGGAACACTTACTTCCGGGTTTGTGGCATTCGAGAGCCAAAACGTGCAAGTACAGTCATACCTTGGGTTACAGACACTTCAGGTTGTGTTTTTTCTGTTTACGGACCGCCGAAACCCGGAAGTACCGGAACGGGTTACTTCCGGTTTTCAGCAGTCGCGCATGCGCAGAAGCGCTAAATCGCACTTTGAGCATGTGCAGAAGCACCGAATCACAACCCGCGCGTGTGTAGATGCGCCGCTGTGGTTGCGAACGCTGCAGGTTGTGAACGTGCATCCCACACGAATCATGTTCGCAACCCCAGCGTCCACTGTACCAAGGCATTCAAGAACCAAGGCACGACTGTAAATGGAAATACATTGTAGCTGAAGTAAAGATAACCATGATAATAGTTGTTTGTTATTTTAACCACCCTGAAGAGGCCACCCACCTGCTAGTGGGTTGCTGTTACTTTCCCATGGAGCATGAACGTCTTTTTGTTCCCAGACCCTTGGATTTTACGGGGGCATTCAGCAATCGGTGGTCCCTGGGCTTTGCCTTTGGAGCTACAGCCAACAAAGTCATGATTCTCTTTTCCGAAGACTACCTCCCACTGCCCAGCAAGTTCAGATGGGCAAAAGGTAAGAGGCCCCTGCTGAGAAATGCCAGCCTGCTGCATAAATCAGTTGGGGTCTTCATCGAGTCCCTGGCTGAGGAAGCTGTGTCTCCCCAAGCTGCTGCCCTTCAGATATGTTAGACTACAGCAAGGGTCAGCAAGGTTTATCTTGCCTGGGCTGGATCAGTCCCGTGGAGATCCCTCTGTGGGCCGGATCGTGCATGCGCATGAGCGCGCCTACCCACGATTTTCAGTGTCTGCGCAGACACGATTTTCAGCGCCGCAGAAGCGAGTCCCTGCGCCTCACAGGTTTAGCGCAGCATGTGAGCAGGCCACTCGGTTTAGGGGCGTCTCGTGGGCCGGTCAAATGACCTTCGTGGGTCGCTTCTGGCCCATGGGCCTTAGGTTGCTGACCCCTGGATTACAGCTTCCATCTGTGCTCCACCACCAAGCTATGAACCTCCCTAATATGACATTCCTCTAGGGGTGACAACACAAGGACGGGCCTTTTCTGCAGTGGCTCTGTTTGTGGAATGCTCTCCCCAGCGAGCTTTGGCTGGTGCCTATATTATGCACCTTTCTTCTTCTTTGGCGATCACTCGTAGCCAAGTAAGATTGTCTTCCATGAACACAGTCTTAACAGTCAGTCCGTAAGTGACTGTGGAGGCAAATTCTGGATCCACACGTTCTTCCACAGTGGGGACATTGGTTTCTGGACAGGAGCTGATCATGGTGTGGATTTGCCAAACATGCCTTCCTCTTAGCACGTTTCTCCCTTTCTTCAAAGCCCATGACATCTTTGGTAAAGGCTGTTCTCCAACTGGAGCGCTCGCAGGCCAGTGTTTCCCAGTTGTCAGTGTATATACTACATTTTTTTAAGATTTGCCTTGAGACAGTCTTTAAACCTCTTCTGTTGACCACCAACAAAAGCCGTGACAGATACAGACAGAGAGATAACACGCTGCAAAGTTTCCCAGTTGTCTGTGTTTATATTATTTTACCTTTAGGCAGCAGGCAAAAACGTTCCTCTTTAACGAGGCCTTTGGCTGATAGACATCTAATGCCTTTTTAAAATGTATTGTGGAAGGGTATGGGGGGTTATTAGATTGTTTTTGTTTTAATTTTTATTATGTATTTTGTGTTTTTAGATTGTGATTTTATGTTGTGAATAGCCCAGAGACCTGCGGGTATAGGGCGGTATACATATTTAATAAATGATAAAATGTTATGTACTGAAGTTCTCACTCTGGGCCAGCAGGGGGATACTGTAGATAGTTCAGGTCCACATATGCAAATAAGGGATCAAAAGTGACGTTCAGTGATTGGATAGTTACAGAAAGTTGTTACAGTTACATTGTACTGGAGCTCTATATAAGCAGGCTGGCTGAACCCTTCAGTTCAGTTCTGTTCTGGCCTGTGAATAAACAAGAGCTGTTTGAAGAATCGCTGTGTCGTCTGATATGTTCACCCACAACTTAACATAAAATAATAACCATTTGTTTACGCTTATTGCACTTTCCTAATATGAGGTTTGAATTATCTGTTTTCATCTCCTTACAGCCTTTATTCTTCTCACTGGGGCCCTGGAAGTGGGCCTTTCCTCCTATCCTTTCTTTGCTTGCCTGTCCACACGATTCTCAATCACCGGGGCCACGCTTGGATTCCTTTACACAGGAAGTTGGTGAGCAACTTGAGAAAACTGGCCAGAATGGCACTTGTGGGTGCGATGGGCATGTGGGGAAGCTGGAGGTACTGAGAGAAGCATCATATCATGTTCTGCCTGCGTCCAGGGTTGCCAATGCAGTGCCCACAGACACCTTTGTTTCTCCTGTGACACCTGAGAAATGTCTTAGTTAATATCTCCTCTAAGATCCTCTAATGATGCCTTATGAGGAACGGCTAACGGAGCTGGGCATGTTTAGCCTGGAGAAGAGGAGGTTAAGGGGTGATATGATAGCCATGTTCAAATATATAAAAGGATGTCAAGGGAGGAGGGAGAAAGGTTGTTTTCTGCTGCTCCAGAGAAGTGGACACGGAGCAATGGATCCAAACTACAAGAAAGAAGATTCTGCCTAAACATTAGGAAGAACTTCCTGACAGTAAGAGCTGTTCGACAGTGGAATTTGCTGCCAAGGAGTGTGGTGGAGTCTCCTTCTTTGGAGGTCTTTAAGCAGAGGCTTGACAACCATATGTCAGGAGTGCTCTGATGGTGTTTCCTGCTTGGCAGGGGGTTGGACTCGATGGCCCTTGTGGTCTCTTCCAACTCTATGATTCTATGATTCTATGATCCACAAAGCACAAGGTTGTGTGGCAAGACCACCTGGAAGAATTTTACCTTCATGATCTCGATATAATAATATATCCATATAAAACCATATATCCTAGTGATCATGTATCCATATATAATCATATATCCTAGTGATGATTTTTATATATCCATGTATCCTAATGATGTTTGAATCGCTAAGGCTTCAGCAGAGCTAAAAGTGCTAAAATCTTAAAATCCAAAATTTGCCCTCTGCCCTATTTCTCTCCCTGCCTTGCTATTGTGCTGGAAGGAAGCAATAAATCTGACGTGTTGGCATTTTTCTATAGGGAACCTACTCCAGACAACTTTTCAGGCTCATGAGATGGGGCTCAGTTGGGGAACTGGAAAAGCAGTCAGCCATAATGCAATGTTCAAAGTCGATAACAGATGGTGGGGGTTATTCAGGTTTCAATGGCCAAATAGGTTTCTTTTCCTCTTCATTGCTGAAAATTAGGTTAAAGGGCAAATTGACGCACCATCTAAGAAAAGCAGAAGTATTCTTTACATGGTCAGAGGAAGAGCTTGTGTGCGCTCATTGGTTTGATTTTTGCTGCAACATACGAATATGTCATGTTTTATGCTGTTTGAAATCAGGTATAAAAAAACCCAATGCACAGGGGCTTCGGGGCCCAGGCTCTGGAAACGATTCCACTGGGTCTTTATTGCTCAGCAATAAACTTTGCCTTCTTTTTCTCCACTGCTGCGCCTGTCGATTCTTGGACACATTTTGAGTGGGCAACAGGTATTCCTTACTTACTTGCAACAGTTGGGGGAGACCGACAAATGCCATCGTATCTCTCCTTTTTAATTTTATTTTACAGGTTTGCCATCATAGCCATGAACATTGTGCAGTGCCCGCATGGACAAGTGAGTCTCGGGTTAGGCAATAATACTAAGATGTTTGACATCACAAATACTTATCAGGGACATTGTTTTTAGCCCTTTGCAGGAGTTTAGTCATATACCACGAATGAGGGTGCTTCTAGAGTACAGATTGTTACCTTCCCAGCCGGTGGGATTCAGTTATATACTGGCAAATTCAGGTTGCACAATCATAATGTTTTTTATCAGACAAACCAAAGCCTCTGGCCAACCGGGGGGCTTAGTGTGGGCAGAATGCCAGGCATGGTGACACTCTTGTAGCTTCTCATTGGCTCTGTGAGCCGGTAGCCTAACACATTAAAGCACACTCAGTACTTTGTTGGACACTGTTGAAAACAGACCACCATGGGCTGACGGGATAGCATTGTGGTTTTAAGGTCTGAGTGGGGAATATTTGGGACTCTACTTGGGGCATACAACTGAATATTTGCAGCACCAACAGATAACCCTTTTAATCCACATTTTTTCTGTGCAGATCATTGGGGAATATGAAAATATTATTTTTTACTGGCCCTCCTTGCTCTGCCAGGTTTTCCTGCTAGGCAGATTTGTCCATATGTTTGTGAAAGCGTCACGGGACCGACTCCGGCTGCCTCCTCTAACTGTGAGTATTTCAGCATCAAAGGGAACCCTCCAATTTCTCCCTTTTCATTCTTTACACTTATATAATGAACTCTGGAATTTTACTGTCTAATGAGACCATTGATCCATAAAATGAAAGCAATAAACAATGTACTGCAGTCACACAATCAACCAATCAGTAGCTGAACAGGGTTCCACAGTCACAAAAAACAACATACGTATTTTGTGTTTTACACATTGTAACTTTGTGTTGTGAGCCACCCCCAGATGCTATATGCATATAGGGTGGTATGCAAATTTAATAAATAAGAAACAATAATTTTGTAAAGATGTGATTAGTCCCCAGACACTTTAGCGTGTTCTTAATTTCAAGGTGTGCTCTCTTTTGGACTCTTTCAGCTGAAAGATGTGCTCCCTGGAATAATGAATACCACAACACACATGTAACTGGCTGTAAAGTAACATAACATTATATATAATAAAACTGTAATCTAATCATCATATCAAAAAATTGCAAAGCACTGTTCCTGATGGCAATAACATATCATATTACTATGTTTTTATTGTCGTAAAATCCAAGGATTTGTTTAGTCATTTAGTCATGTCCGGCTCTTCGTGACCCCATGGACTTGAGCACGCCAGGCACTCCTGTCTTCCACTGCCTCCCGCAGTTTGGTCAAACTCATGCTGGTAGCTTCGAGAACACTGTCCAACCATCTCATCCTCTGTCGTCCCCTTCGCCTTGTGCCCTCCATCTTTCCCAACATCAGGGTCTTTTCCAGGGAGTCTTCTCTTCTCATGAGGTGGCCAAAGTCTTGGAGCCTCAGCTTCACGATCTGTCCTTCCAGTGAGCACTCAGGGCTGATTTCCTTCAGAATGGATAGGTTGGATCTTCTTGCAGTCCATGGGACTCTCAAGAGTCTCCTCCAGCACCAGAATTCAAAAGCATCAATTCTTCGGCGATCAGCCTTCTTTATGGTCCAGCTCTCACTTCCATACATCACTACTGGGAAAACCATAGCTTTGTCGGCAAGGTGATGTCTCTGCTTTTTAAGATGCTGTCTAGGTTTGTCATTGCTTTTCTCCTAAGAAGCAGGCGTCTTTTAATTTCGTGGCTGCTAGTCAAGTCCAAAGATTGTCAAGTCCAACGATTACAACTTGCAATGCCATTTCATACTGATATCTTCCTTCTGCATCATCCTATGTCTTAAAAGTGTAACAAACGAACTTGCCTTCTGCAGAGTCCTATGTCTTGAGAGTGTAACAAACAAAACTACATAGTAACAATCAGGCACCTGATGATAGATCAGTTCTCAGGATACATCCTTGTTTCGCCCATTGGGCTTCTTCAGCAACAAGGTTTCCAGGAGATTTTTCAGTAGGTTTTTTCAGCCGAAATAGTCCACAGGAACGCAGAAGTTGCCAGTCAGTTGCCAGCAATTTAATAAATAAGAAACAATAATTTTGTAAAGATGTGATTAGTCCCCAGACACTGTAAAAAGGTAAAGGGACCCCTGACCATTAGGTCCAGTTGTGGCCAACTCTGGGGTTGCGGCGCTCATCTCGCTTTATTGGCCGAGGGAGCCGGCGTTTGTCCGCAGACAGCTTCCGGGTCATGTGGCCAGCATGACTAAGCCGCTTCTGGCGAACCAGAGCAGCGCATGGAAACGACGGTTACCTTCCCGCTGGAGCGGTACCTATTTATCTACTTGCACTTTGACGTGCTTTGGAACTGCTAGGGGGGCAGAAGCAGGGACTGAGCAACGGGAGCTCACCCTGTCGCGGGGATTCGAACCGCCGACCTTCTGATCGGCAAGTCCTAGGCTCAGTGGTTTAGACCACAGAGCCACCCGCAGCACACTTTAGCACGTTCTTAATTTCAAGGTGTGCTCTCCTTTGCACTCTTCCAGCTGAAAGATGTGCTCGCTGGAATAATGAAGCATCTCTTTTCTTCTCCCTGCAGGAGGAGAAGGCCTCCGTCATGGAACTACACCAGGCTCAATATGTCCAGCAGCTCATGAGGAAGCCTCCACTGATGTGAGCAGGGTCATTCTGTCCCAGGGGCATTTGCCTTTTTAGTCTAGAAAAATAATAACAGTGGAATCTGCATTGAGGGTTTTATAAGCTCCAGCTGCCCCTGCTAGGGACAGCCCCTATTTTCAGTCTTCCCCCTTGCCTTTCCTAGGCTAGCTGATGCCTTGCCCACCATCCCTGGCCAGGAGAAAATAGCATCTGTTGACCGAGGTCTCTTCCTGGGAACCTGTTTCCTGATTTGTTTGCATGGGGTTTATATGACTTTCTGTCAATCAATCATTATTCCACTCTTGTAGTGCCCCTCACCATCACACACACACACACACACACACACACACACACACAACCCTACCGTATTTTTCCGTGTATACCACTAGGTTTCCCCCCTAAAAAATAATGTCAAAAGTTAGGGGGCGTCTTATACATGGATAGGGATGTGGGTGGCACTGTGGGTTAAACCACAGAGCCTAGGACTTGCCGATCGGAAGGTCGGCGGTTCGAATCCCAGTGACAGGGTGAGCTCCCGTTGCTTGGTCCCTGCTCCTGCCAACCTAGCAGTTCGAAAGCATGTCAAAGTGCAAGTAGATAAATAGGTACTGCTCCGGCGGGAAGGTAAACGGCGTTTCCGTGTGCTGCTCTGGTTCGCCAGAAGCAGCTTAGCAGTTTTCACACACAGCCCACCTTCCCTTGTCACTTCATGCTCTTTACGCGTTCTTTCCCACCAACAGGCAGCCTCAGAAATCCTGGATCCGGCGGAATGTGTATGAATGGGACCCTTATTTTCAGTTCCCCAGCAGGATGATCACCATGGCTGTGCTTGCCCTCATCTGCCTCTACATGGTGAATAAAATATTCCCTGTTTCTTTCTGGGTGGGTGGAGAGATGTTTTGGAGTAACAACTTGGCTTTCCGGAGTAGGTAAGAGCAGCTCAATTTATTGATTTCCAATGGGGCAGATGTATTAATCTCTCTCTCTCTCTCTCTCTCTCTCTCTCTGTGTGTGTGTGTGTGTGTGTGTAAGATCCAGCTTCCTCTTCTCACAGGAACGGCCCTTTGTTCATGGGGGTATCTGTAGTAGTAGTAGTAGTAGTAGTAGTAGTAGTAATAATAATAATAATAATAATTTATACCCCACCCATCTGGCTAGGTTTCCCCAGCCACTCTGGGTGCTCCCAACAGAATATTAAAAACATGATAAAACGTCAAACATTAAAAACAAGGCTGCCTTCAGATAGTTGTTTATTTCCTTGACATATGATGGGAGGGTGTTCCACAGAGTGGGCACCACTACTGAGAAGGCCCTCTGCCTGGTTCCCTGTAGCGTCACTTCTTGCAGTGAGGGAACTACCAGAAGGCTCTCAGAGCTGGACCTCAGTGTCCGGGCTGAATGATGGGGGTGGAGACACTCCTTCAGGTATACTGGGCTGAAGCTGTTTAAGGCTTTAAAGGTCAGCACCAACACTTTGAACTGTGCTCAGAAATGTACTGGGAGCCAATGTAGGTCTTTCAGGACTGGTGTTATATGGTCTGGGTGGCCACTCCCAGTCACCAGTCTAGCTGCTGCATTCTGGATTAAGTGTACAGTGGTGCCTCGCAAGACGAAATTAATCCGTTCCGCGAGAGTCTTCGTCTAGCGGTTTTTTCGTCTTGCGAAGCAACCCTATTAGCGGCTTAACGGATTAGCGCTATTAGCGGTTTAGCGGCTATTAAAGGCTTAAAGGCTTAGCGGATTAGCTGCTAAAAGGCTATTAAAGGCTATTAAAGGCTTAGCGGATTAGATTAAGGGGGTGGGAAGCAAAAATAAAATCTCACGACTCGCAAGACATTTTCGTCTTGCGAAGCAAGCCCATAGGGAAATTCGTCCTGCGAAGCAACTCAAAAACGGAAAACCCTTTCGTCTAGCGGGTTTTCCGTCTTGCGAGGCATTCGTCTTGCGGGGCACCACTGTAGTTTCTGGGTCACCTTCAAATGTAGCCCCATGTATAGCACATTGCAGTAGTCCAAGCGGGAGATAACCAGAGCATGCACCACTCTGGCAAGACAGTCTGTGAGCAGGTAGGGTCTCTGCCTGCGTACCAGATGGAGCTGGTTGACAGCTGCCCTGGACACAGAATTGACCTGTGCCTCCATGGACAGCTGTGAGTCCAGAATGACTCACATTAATGAGCATTGATGCTTTAATTGTTCATATTTGGGCTGCAGATCTTTAAAGGAGTTCACTAGTGAAGATTAGCAGCAGGAAATATTGTCTGGCAATAACTGCTGCAAGTTAACTGTTCCTTTTTATCCATTTCTCTCCTCCAGTTTGTTGTGAATGAGTTTTATGTCTTCAAGATGGTCTCACAAGCGCTGCAAGCTCTGAAGTCCACCTTTGATGTGGTCATTGTTTCCAGCAATACAACAGAGGTAGTTGCTCAGGTGGAGCATTTGAAAGACTTTATTGACGTCACAGAAGGTATGGGCACAGTCTGTGACTTATTTTGTATGTGTGTGTTGACGACAAAATGATGTTGGTGGTTGCGTTTCACCAGCTTTTCACATCTGCTGATGCTGACATCCATATCTTAGGCAGCCCATGCCTGCTGTTCGAATATGGATGTTGCACGGACTATAATGTACCTTCAATTTAAACTGGGCTCTCTTCCACAGACAGCATGGGGGATGTCGATTAGATGGAAACTCTCAGAGTGATTAAATGCAAACAACCCATTGCAGTGGTGAGGTGGGAGTGGGGATCGGATCTGGAATTCAACACCTTCACACACCAATCAGGAGGACCCAAACTATTCTTTGGGGTGACAGTTTTTTGGGGGCACTTATTAGATTCTGGATTATAATGGGCAAGTTCCTGTCGTCAGGATATCTCTCAGTCCTCTTTTTTCCAATTAGTTTTTTTTTAATCAAAGATTTTCTTGTGTTCCAAAACAAACAAATTTATATTTATATTTTGCTACGGTGATCTATGTTTACTCCTGTTGGGTCCTTCCAGTGTCTAGTTATGATGTTTCTTGCTGCCTCTCAGTCCTCTTGATGTTGGGTTCAGGCTGAGGCTTCTTCCAAGGGCATCACTCATTATGTGGCTGGAGAGATCTTCATCCCACCCCAAAACACTTTTACTTTTCTTTTAGAACACAGGTGGCCTTAGAGACTAGATGTTTCTTGGACTCCAACTGCCTTCAGCCCCAGCTGATGTGGCTAATAGCTGTGGATGAGAGAGAGGGAGTCCAGCAACATCTAGAGATACTGTTATGTACTGAGCTGAATAGGATCCAAAATGCAGCAGTCTGATTGGTCCTAGAACAATAGGATTCAGAATGCAGCAGTCTGATTGGTCCTAGAACAATAGGATTCAGAATGCAGCAGTCTGATTGGTCCTAGAACAATGCAGCATTATGATTGGTCTGCAGGAGCCACCCAATCCAGCTAGAGATGGAAGTGAATCCACAACCTGATTGGCCTACAGGAGAATTCCGGAATTAGCCAGTCACGTGCAGCCCATTGTGTAAATAATGTATATAAAGCAGATATTTTGGGGAAACTTGCATTCCTCCTCACCACTATGAGCTGAATAAAGAGCATGAAATCTACTCTCGACTCTGGGTATATTTCAGATACTCAGGCTGGCTACTCTTCCCTTAGAGCTACTAGGTTTGTCAGGAGGCAGGAATCCCTTCCTGCTGAGAAGGCAGCATGAATGACTGCCAGGAATGTGTACGTGCTGAGAGACACACGCAGGGTATGTAAGCCTGGTAGAGGAGCCTGCTTTCATATTCCCTTGCATGTCTTCAGTTTCACCTCCAATTCGGAAAATCAACTGTCTTGCCAAAGGCAAGGTGGTTCTTTTAAACGGAGATTCAGAAGCAATACAAAATGCACAAATGAGTGAGAAGATTAAAGATTTTATTCTAAAACAGCAAAGCACTTCAATCTGCCACTTGCAAGCCCCCATGAAACAGCAAAGCGACTCCCCCAGGCAAGGCTGGATTTAGGTTTGATGAGGCCCTAAGCTACTGAAGGGACGTGGGTGGCGCTGTGGGTTAAACCATAGAGCCTAGGGCTTGCCGATCAGAAGGTCAGCGGTTTGAATCCTCAAGATGGGGTGAGCTCCCGTTGCTCGGTCCCTGCTCCTGCCAATCTAGCAGTTCGAAAGCACTTCAAAGTGCAAGTAGATAAATAGGTACCGCTCCAGTGGGAAGGTAAATGGCGTTTCCGTGCGCTGCTCTGGTTCGCCAGAAGTGGCGTAGTCATGCTGGCCACGTGACCCGGAAGCTGTACACCGGCTCCCTCAGCCAATAAGGCGAGATGAGCGCCGCAACCCCAGAGTTGGCCATGACTGGACCTAATGGTCAGGGGTCCCTTTACCTTTTAAGCTACTGAAGGCAATGGGGCTCTTTATATGTCCAGCTGTCCTTTGTCAACAACAAATTGTAGCTGGTTTTGTGTGTTGAATATATGATATATGGTAATTTATGGACCTAATAGGTATCTAAAGCCATTTGCACTTAACAAATAGGAGCCTATGTTGTAAACAAAAATCTGCCCTTTTCCCCTTATGGGGTATCCAAGAGCCCATATAGAGTCCTTATGTAGGTTCCCTATCGGTAGGAGAAAATAACAGAGGCCAACCAGAGAATATTGAGAAGCAAAGCAGCTAGTAAGCCTGATCTTTATTGATCTGTTGCAACAGGGTCCTCACTCACCACACGCAGGAGGGAGGAGGAACCCAGAACAATGGTGTGCAAGCCCTTATAGAGACTTTTGAAACTGCCCACTCTGTAGCTCAAGACCACCCCCAGAAACATCATACCTACATCACAGAAATGGCGGTCTACAGTAGAAATCTGAGTGCTTTGTTTACCTCCTGTTTGCCAGGTTACCTGTTTAATGGTCAGGATTGGATTGCCTGGGGAGCCTGGCCTGTCTTTTGTAATAATAAATACTTAGTAATTATGAATACTTAGTTCCTGAGTCAGGTCACAGGCTCACACCCTATTCAAACACAGACATACCCTTAAGACAGGATTTGTGAAGGAAAAGACAATGGGGAGGCTTTCCCATTTTCCTTTGACCTTGCAGAGAAAACATTTGGTCAGTTTGGGAATCAAAAATGGTTTCAGGTCAGTCTTCCTGTGCTGATCTATGTACGTGCTTGGTTGGTACATTTATTATATATCTAAGACCTTAAAATTCTTATCACACCTACACAACGCAAAACACTGTTGCTGTATATAGATTTTATTTTATCTTATATTTTGGAAATGTACATCCAGTTTTTCCCCCTTTAATTTTTTGGGGGCCCCCCAAGAGAGGGGGGCCATAAGCTATAGCTTGTTTAGCTTATACGTAAATCTGGCACTGCCCCCAGGTAGCTTCAGTTTGCACGGCCCTGCGGCCGATCAGTCTTCAAAGAAACTCTGCCCATACTGTCCAATTTTATAGATAACCTGTGTAACTTTCCAGAGTAGCTACGTGCAGATAATCCATCAGCCGCCCCCTCCCAATGCCTCACTTTCTCAAAACAATGTCCAACATGAAAGAAGGTACCCAGCACTATCCTCCCAAACGGATTAAGGCAGCTGTATGGGGGGGCTTCACCTCCTCCCAATCTTCTCAGGACATCAAAGACTGTTCTCACACCATCAAAAAACTTAACAAGAGCGAGGGAGGGGGAAGGAACAGAGGCAGGAAGGGCTCTGTGTCAGACCACTAACTCCTGATACGTTTTGTTTTTCGGATGCATTTCCCATACATTGACTCACAAGTAAAAAGAGGGTGGTGAGAAACGGTTCTGAAGCTTGCAAGCGTGTTGGTACCTTCCATGCCTGTGAAAGCAGAGCACTTTTGAGGTTGTGTTGACTGAGGATACGACCTCACAAAGAGAATGAGGTCACACAGGTGACGGTTCTTTGTCCCACAGGTGTGTGGCTTTTCACCACCGTCACTGCCTGCCTCACCAGTGTCAGCTACGTGTTCCACATCCTGGCCTGCTACAGGTATGGAGATGCTTCGTGCCTTGTATCTTATTCCGCGAGGATTTCGGGACCCTGGGGGGAGTGGAGGAAAAGAAAGAGTAGCTTGTCCAAGCGGATCTAGGCAGCCAATTCAAGTCCTGGCAAAGTCAAGTCTAGTCCAAATTGTATTTGTATTTTGGGGGCACAGCTGACTCTGGCAACATATAAATAAACAAACTCGACTACACTATTTTCCTAGAAAGCACATGAAACGGTTGTGGGCTGGCCAGAAGCAATTCCTTCCGTTGGTGTTTGTCAGGCTGTCATCTTCTCAAAATGTGGTGAGTTCTCACTTCTCTTCCCCTTCAAGTCTACCCGCAGCAGTAACCTATCTTGCAAATACCCGAATCTCTTTTACGTAACCCAGATGTTGTCTGGAAAGCTCTGCCCTGGCTGCTCATTCCATGTTCAGCCCAATTCAAGATGCAAGTGTTGTCTATACAGCCCTAAATAGTCTGGGTCCCAGTTATATAATGGAGTACCTCCCCTTGTCCTATCCTGCCTATGAACTGAGATCTGCTGGTGAGTCCTTTTCGGCTGTAGTGAAAGCTGGATGGTCAGAATTCAGAACAGGGTCTTCTCAGTGGCGGCACCCTAATTGTAAAACACTCATCCTGTAGAGAATAGGCAGGTGCTGACACTGAGGAACGTTTGGTGCCAGGAAAAAAGATGTTTTTGCCCAGTCTTTTGAAGTTTAGTCTGTTTTAAGATGGCTATTGTGGCAAATGAAGGAATATGTGGATAGGTTTTTAATTCAATTTTGATGTGTTGATTTTCTGTAGTTGATTTGTTGCTCTGTTACCATTGCATGATGAAGGCTGGAATGCAGATCCCATAACTAACCAAACAAACACATACATACATACATACATACATACATACAAAAAATAATGGCATACTGGGGTCAGTTTCTTGGTCACATTGACATGTGATGGAATGTTGGGAGAATGAGACAGAATGTTTATGACTGGTCCCAAATGTTAGTCTTTTATCACTGCTTAGCTTTGGTATCAATGGCTTCAGCAAGGAAGATGGTCTATAGTACAAGTCCCAGTGGAGATTTATATATCAGGCCATGTGTATATTCTTATTTTCTATTATACATGTGGGAGTTTATTGTATATAAACGTCTCTCCATTTTTTATTTTATTTTAACATTAACAGGCCGCAATAGCAAGATACTCTGGTTGGCAAATTGCATACATACTATGGGGTACGTGACTGTCTTTGTTGTGAACTGATGATTGGGGTTGCCCCTTTCTTCCCTTGTTAATTGTTCATTTGTGCTTTTTCCCTCTAGGGTACCTGATCATCCACACAGTTCAGTGCCTCTTTGGGGTGATGTTCATGTATGGTTTCGTTTTGCCCATCAAGCATGGCCAGGGGATCGAAATGCTTAAAAATCTGGGAACTGGGATGTAAGTGCCCTGCATTTTTTGTGCAGTCTACTAGGGTACTGACTGAGAAGGAGGTTGTGAGCCAGGACGTTGGTCAGGCAGGCATTCCCTGGGTAGTCTTGGGCGAGTGATGATCTCTCAGTTTTGCCCAGCGCTTCCTACATTCACAAAACATTAATTTTGTTCTCAGGTGCTCCTTGTGCTTTATCAAAGAAAACATAAATAGAAGTGCCCTTTGCAAGCTGTGCTTGTGAACCTGATGACTCTGATTTTTTGGGGTTAAACATTTGGTTTTCAACCTTATGATCCTCGCAATCCAGACATTTACCATTTCCCCATCTGGCTGAGCTGCTTCTAGGTGGGTGACTCCTAGGTATAGGTAAAGGGACCCCTGACCATTAAGTCCAGTCATGACCGACTCTGGAGTTGCGGTGCTCATCTCGCTTTATTGGCCGAGGGAGCCGGCCTACGGCTTCTGGGTCTTGTGGCCAGCATGACTAAGCCACTTTTGGCAAACCAGAGCAGCATATGGAAACGCCGTTTACCTTCCCACCGGAGCGGTACCTATTTATCTACTTGCACTTTGACATGCTTTCGAACTGCTAGATTGGCAGGAGCAGGGACCGAGCAACGGGAGCTCACCCCATTGCGGGGATTCGAACCGCTGACCTTCTGATCAGCAAGTCCTAATCTCTGTGGTTTAACCCACAGCGCCATCCGCGTCCTTCGGGTGACTCCTCCTGCTACCCAAACACAGAGGTGTACCTAGGGGTTGCTGAAACTGGCTCCCTCTGGGGGCACAGGCCCGAGAAGGGCGTAAATATCAGCTGCCAGACTATGAAGTGTATGGTGCTTATGTGCGCGATGATGTGCTGCTGCTGCTGTCATGGCGAGATCAAACATGGGAGACATTTCCTATCCTTCTTACACCATGGAACAAAGTTGATTTTTTTCAGAGGGTGGGTGGGCTCCAACACAGCTCCTTGCCAGGGGTGCAAAGTGTTATGTACTGAAGTTCTCACCCTGGGCCAGCAGGGGGATACTGTAGATAGTTTTCACTCAGGTCCACATATGCAAATAAGGGATTGAAAGTGACGTTCAGTGATTGGATAGTTACAGAAAATGGTTACTGTTGTGTTCTAGTGGAGCTCTATATAAGCAGGCTGGCTGAACCCTTCAGTTCAGTTCTGTTCTGGCCTGTGAATAAACAAGAGCTGTTTGAAGAATCGCTGTGACGTCTGATATGTTCACCCACAACTTAACACAAAGGACCCTAGGTGTGCATTTGCCCAAAGATTGCAAGTTACAACAAGTGGAATTGCAATTGACTCTCCCTCCTATTGGGAATACAGTGGTACCTCGGGTTACAGACGTTTCAGGTTACAGACTCCGCTAACCCAGAAATAGTACCTCGGGTTAAGAACTTTGCTTCAGGATGAGAACAGAAATCGTGCTCCGGCGGCGCGGTGGCAGCGGGAGCCCCATTAGCTAAAGTGGTGCTTCAGGTTAAGAACAGTTTCAGGTTAAGAACGGACCTCCAGAACGAATTAAGTTCTTAGCCCAAGGTACCACTGTATTACCGATTTCCTATGTGTACATCCTGGTATTTTCCAGCCACCCCAGTGGGTGTGGCATACCAGTTGTAGGAGAGGCCATTTGCAGCTCAGCACAGATTCCCCTTAATAACCCTTGTAGATCCATGGCATTTTTTGACTTTGCTGGTTTTTTAAATCAGTCTTTCAATTATTACTAGCGGTCTGTTGTCGGTGATAGCTGGGAAAGAAATGTACTGATGCATACCTGACCGTGGCATTCAGCTCCTTATATTTTTGTTACAATCTCATAAAACTGTCACTTCTCTCTGCCTTTTCTGCCTCAGCCTCACACTTGCCGTCGTCATAGGGCTCATGCAACTGCAGATTGCAACAGCTACTGCCTTCTTTCTTCAGCCGAAGATTTTGTTGACTGACAAGGAAAAGCCTTTGGCTCTTGATAACAGGTCAGGGCAAGGAAGTTGGGGTGCCGACGGGGTTTGTCTTTTGTCCAGGGGAGGGCTCTTAATATTTTATCCAACTTGCACAACAGACACATCTACTGGTCCTGCCGATGAGTTTCTGCATATCATGCAGTTGTTAAAGGCGTTGGAGCCGTGCTAGAAAAAAGTTGGCCTTTCTACTTCCCATTGTTCAAGTTCATGATAGAAAAACCTGTTCCAGTCGAAGCTGTGCAAGGCAAGAAATGTTTGCTGCCTCTGTCTGATGGAGGAAAAGTGTAACCGCAGTGTCTGCCGGGAGAACATACTAGTCAGGATTCTTGCAAGGACATTGTTCTCTGTCTTGAACAAGAACACAACAGCAACAGGAAAGTCCTGTGACCATCCAGAAATGTTAAATCTGGTGCTAGTAAAGGTAAAGGGACCCCTGACCATTAGGTCCAGTTGTGGCCGACTCTGGGGTTGCGGCGCTCATCTTACTTTATTGGCCGAGGGAGCCGGCATACAGCTTCCGGGTCATGTGGCCAGCATGACTAAGCCGCTTCTGGCGAACTAGAGCACCGCACAGAAACACCGTTTACCATCCTGCCGGAGCGGTACCTATTTATCTACTTGCACTTTGACGTGCTTTTGAACTGCTAGGTTGGCAGGAACAGGGACCGAGCAACGGGAGCTCACCCCGTCGTGGGGATTCGAACCGCCGACCTTCTGATCGGCAAGTCCTAGGCTCTGTGGTTTAACCCACAGTGCCACCCGCGTCCCCTGGTGGTGCTACCTATCTGGTGCTACCTAGTGGTTAAACTTTCTAATATGTAAAAAAGGTAAAGGTCCCCTGGACGGTTAAGTCCAGTCAAAGGCAACTATGGAGTGTGGCGCTCATCTTGCTTTCAGGCCGAGGGAGTCAGCGTTTGTCCACAGACAGCTTTCTGGGTCATGTGGCCAGCATGACTAAACCGCTTCTGGCGCAACAGAACACTGTGACGGAAACCAGAGCATACGGAAACGCCGTTTACCTTCCCGCCACAGCAGTACCTATTTATCTACTTGCACTGGTGTGCTTTCAAGCTGCTAGGTTGGCAGGAGCAGGGACCGAGCTCACCCCGTCGCGGGGATTTGAACCGCCGACCAAGAGGCTCATTGGTTTAGAGCACAGCGCCACCCGCATCCCTTATACTTTAGAATAGTCCCATCCTCACAAGGGAATTTGCACAAGAGAAGGTCTAGAAAACAAACATGGTGTCACAACTATGACGTAGTGAATTGGGAAGAACCGAAGGTGAGATGTAAGGGGGTGTCCAATTTTGGCCTCGCACAGGGTGCTGCTGAAATTTGAAAGGCCAAAGTCTGGCCCTGTGTCCAGCTAACCTCCCCTCAGAGCGGAGCAACAGAAAGTAATGGACTTTACTTTCTGTAATGGAAAGTAACGGAAAGTAATGGACAACAGAAAGTAAAGGTAGTCATGTCCATTAATTCCAATGGGCTTACTCTGAGTATGACTAGACCCGGAGCCCATCCGTACAATCTTGTGACTTGCTTTTGATTCCCACATGTACCTTTAGCTGGAAGCCTGAAAGCTAGAAGCAGTTTGATTCATTTTACGCTTGATGCTGCCTCCTTGAGTGCATCTGCTATTGTGACTCTCCTGTGGCGATTTGTCCTTATTTCCAGGAAAGCTTTCCACAATTTCAACTACTTCTTGTTCTTCTACAATGTGGTGCTGGGCCTGGGGGCCTGCCTGTTCCGTCTGCTGGGCAGCGTCATCGTGGGAGCGTGGCTGATTGCTCGGATAGACAGGACAATCATGCCCAAAGGCTATGAAGCAGCTGACCTGGGTAAGGCTTGGGCTACTCTCTCTCTCTCTCTCTCTCGGGCCATAAGGCTGGAAGTTTCTCAAACATCTCTGGCTTTCAGAAAAGAAGCAAGCGAGCAAACTCAAAGGGCAAGGGAAAGCCCACAATGAAGGCTGCATGATACAATATACGATACGATATCTTTATTGTCATTGTCCCATGCAGAACAATGAAATTGAAAAACTACATAAAACTACATAAAAACTACATAAAACTACCACAAAACTACATAAAACTACTACAAAACTACATAAAACATTCAAAAACCCCGAAACCCCATTTAAAAATACACTATACTATAGAGACCCCTTATGCTGCGTTTAGAACCAGAATTGCATTTGCGTAGAAACTGTTTCTCAGGCGGCTAGTCCTGGCCTTTATAACCCTATACCTTATCAGTTTAATAGCTAAATTAATCAACTCAAACTTCAGTTGATTAACAAGTGTTGACTAGGTTTAAGCAGTCAGGCATGCAGGTTACCTATTGATGGACAGTACCAGTTTTCCGCAACTGTCCCATGGTAACTGCCCTTTAGCTTGTTCACACGTTCTGCTGAACATGGACACCTTACACAGGACTTGAAGAATCTTCTTACCTGTCAGTTTGACAACAGTTGATAAGTATTATTCATATACCGTATTTTTTGCTCAATAAGACTCACTTTTCCCCTCCTAAAAAGTAAGGGGAAATGTGTGTGCCTCTTATGGAGCGAATGCAGGCTGCGCAGCTATCCCAGAAGCCAGAACAGCAAGAGGGATTGCTGCTTTCACTGTGCAGCGATCCCTCTTGCAGTTCTGGCTTCTGAGATTCAGAATATTTTTTTTCTTGTTTTCCTCCTCCAAAAACTAGGTGCGTCTTATGGTCTGGTGCGTCTTATAGAGCGAAAAATACGGTATATATATTAATGAATACAATGCATTTCTCTCCCTTGAGCCCAAGAGAGGGTTTAGCCCTTTTTGTTTTCAAAACTCCTTCATAGCGGTGCATACGTTATTAATCCATAGTTTGCCTGTCCTCACAAACTCCTCCAAACAGCATCTCCTTGAAGTCACCACACGCCCAGGTTCTCAGTCAAAGAAACAACTAACAGAATAACCAACCAACTCCAACCTGCCACCTCCTTCCCACAATGCCATTTATTCTTTGTGAACTACATTTACGAGGCAAATACAATACAAATACTAACAGCTGTCTCTACACATGTGGAAGTGTTTGTGAGAAAGAGTGCATGCAAGCTGCTATGTTTAGCACAACTGCCGTGTAATAGTAATAATAATTTTATTATTTATACCCCACCCATCTCGCTGGGTTTCCCCAGCCACTCTGGGCGGCTTCCATCACTTATAAAAACATAATAAAATGTCAAAAATGAAAAATTTCCAGATACAGGGTTGTCATCAGATGTCTTCTAAATAATAATAATAATAATAATAATAATAATAATAATAATATAGACAGGTATGCATATTTGCAAAGGTATGCATTATAATGGGACGCGGGTGGCGCTGTGGGTTAAACCACACAGCCTACGACTTGCTGATCAGAAGGTCGGTGGTTCGAATCCCTGCGACGGGGTGAGCTCCCGTTGCTTGGTCCCTGCTCCTGCCAACCTAGCAGTTCGAAAGCACGTCAAAGTGCAAGTAGATAAATAGGTACCGCTCCGGCAGGAAGGTAAACAGCGTTTCTGTGTGCTGCTTTGGTTCGCCAGAAGCGGCTTGGTCATGCTAGCCACATGACCCGGAAACTGTATGCTGGCTCCCTCGGCCAATAAAGCCAGATGAGCGCCGCAACCCCAGAGTCGGCCACGACTGGAACTAATGGTCAGGGGTCCCTTTACCTTTTATGCATTATAATATAATAACTGGTAGGCAGTTCTCCACTTGTTGAATGTTACATGTGAATAACCGTGCAAGCATGCAGCTCAAGTGTTGTGTGCGCAGATTGTACACAACATATGCAACATATAAGTGCCTCTTACTTTTGTCTGTTGAGGGCATCTTATTAAAACGTTATTATTTATTTCCTTTGCGGTTGCTTCCCATGAATGGTCCCAAAGTGATTTACAGCAGGAGAAAACTATAGAGAGAAATGGCACAGATATGCACAAATAAAAACAATTCAACACACATTTTTAAAATGAGAATACACATATTGAAAGCAATTTGAATGGGACAAAATGTTGGCCATGAAAGTTGCTAGAGTTGTCCTCCTTTGGGGATCAGCCCCTCCCTCCCTCTGTGGTGGGTGGGGAGGGGGCAGGGGGCATCTCCTCTCTCCTGCAAACAGGGTATCTGCTGAGATCAATATTGTATTTAGGACAAGTATACCTTCCCATGCATCTTTAACTTTTCAACCAGGCCTTGGGCTGACTGACATCCTACATCCTTTCAAATGTGCTTGTGGGAGAAGGGATTAGTGGCTTGTTTTTGTATTTATTTATGTTGTGAAGGGATGCGGGTGGCGCTGTGGGTTAAACCACAGAGCCTAGGACTTGCCGATCAGAAGGTTGGCGGTTCGAATCCCCATGACGGGTTGAGCTCCCATTGCTCTGTCCCTGCTTCTGCCAGCCTAGCAGTTCCAAAGCACATCAAAGTGCAAGTAGATAAATAGGTACCGCTCCGGCGGGAAGGCAAACGGCGTTTCCGTGTGCTGCTCTGGTTTGCCAGAAGCGGCTCAGTCATGCTGGCCACATGACCTGGAAGCTGTACGCTGGCTCCCTCGGCCAATAAAGCAAGATGAGCACCGCAACCCCAGAGTCAGTCACGACTGGACCTAATGGTCAGGGGTTCCTTTACCTTTATGTTGTGAACTGCCCTGAGATCTACGGATAAAGGGTTTACAAATTCCCCTGTGCTCAGTAGGGATATCCAAATCTCTCAATTTTAGTTTTTATTGTCAGTTTTTCAGTTTTCTCTTCTTAAGTTCATTTTTTTTGTGTGTATAATTTTTATTAAATGTTCTGTTTTACAATTTAAAATACTCATTTAAACAACCTTAAAATGTCAGTGGCTTCCCTTCTTTTCTTTCCATGGTTCATTTTGCCTATCATGAATCCCTGCATATTTCACATAAACTATACCGTTCAGTATTCCATTATTACATCCATCAAAACTTGTTTACGCTGTTGAATTTATCTTAATGCTGCCAACATTTTCAAGTGTACACAATTTCTCCCCATATATTCAATAAACATTTTCCAATCTTCTTTAAACGTATGTTCTTCTTGTTCTCTTATTCTGTATGTGAGGTCTGCAAACTGCGCATATTCCATCAGTTTAAGTTGCCAATTTTCTTTAGTTGGGACCTTTTCCATTCTGGGGCTAACAGAATACTGGTTGCAGTAGTGGCATACATAAATAACCTTTTTTGACACGAACTGAATTTCTCCCTCACTGTGATTCGACTGCAGGATTCAGGACATGGATTGGGATGCTCTTTATGGACCACCACCACACAAATCCCACCCTCGTCTGTTTTTGCCACCTTCTCGTGGTCCGAACGAGAGAGAGACAACAGCAGAGAACCACCGGATATCATCATTTTACCAACGCAACAGTAACAGGTAGACTCTAGTTGGGCTGCTACAGATTTATACATGTTACAGTAAATATTAGGAATATAGTTGCCATTTATCAATACTTGTTATTGTTTTAGGATGCCAGTAAGAAGTGTAAGCGGACGCAGGTGGCGCTGTAGGTTAAATCACAGAGCCTAGGGCTTGCTGATCAGAAGGTCGGCGGTTCGAATCCCCACGACGGGGTGAGCTCCCGTTGCTCGGTCCCTGCTCCTGCCCACCTAGCAGTTCGAAAGCACGTCAAAGTGCAAGTAGATAAATAGGTACAGCTCCGGCAGGAAGGTAAACGGCATTTCCGTGCACTGCTCTGGTTCGCCAGAAGCGGCTTAGTCATGCTGGCCACATGACCCGGAAGCTGTACGCCAGCTCCCTCGGCCAATAAAGCGAGATGAGCGCCGCAACCCCAGAGTCGGTCATGACTGGACCTAATGGTCAGGCGTCCCTTTACCTTTACCTAAGAAGTGTAAGCAAATTCTGACATTTACTAGCAAAATCTCAAAACTCCGCAAGTGCCTTAGGATCAAATTTCACCGTTTTTCCTGCTCTCTGCAGGCAGATATGGGCACTGCAGTGATATGGACCATCTATGAAATGTTCAGGTTAGGAAATATTGCATTCTCACAAGTGTGTAGACCAGAGGTAGGCAAACTAAGGCCCGGGGGCCAGATACGGCCCAATCGCCTTCTCAATCCGGCCCACGGACAGTCCGGGAATCAGCATGTTTTTACATGAGTAGAATGTGTCTTTTTATTTAAAATTGCATCTCTGGGTTATTTGTGGGGCATAGGAATTCGTTCATTCTCCCCTGCCCCCCCCCCAAATATAGTTTGGCCCACCACATGGCCTGAGGGACGGTGGATCGGCCCAGGGCTGAAAAAGATTGCTGACCCCTGATGTAACAGCAGTGTGCATGTTTGTGTGTGTGTGTGGATGCCTGGCTCGTCCCACAGGTGAAGCCAGTATACTGGGTGTTTTTTGAAGTGGCAACCACGTTAATGAAGCTTGTTCCACCTGCTGTCCGTGCCTTGAAGGAGAAAGGATATTAGGAAGCATATTAAGCACTGATGCCTTGTTTTCTTTTAGATTTCAGGGTTTCCAACAAAGCCAGGACAAGGTGGCTGCTGTCATACACACTTCTAAATAACCCCAGCCTTTCAGCACTCAGGAAGCCAAAATGAGGGTCCTCTCCTACAAATGCGTTGCTAATTCCCCCCACTACAGATGCAACGGGACTGAAATGAACCTCACTGGGACTGCACTGCCATATTCCTCATATACAACTTCCTAATACTGTATCGGACCATTGGTCCATCAAGTTGAGTCTATGTACTAAGACTGGCTGCCGGTCTACTTCCAGTTCTGCAACCTGAGACCCTCTTAACTGAAGAGACTCCAGCGATCAAATCTGGGACCTTCTGCTTGCTAAGGAAAAACTGCTATTGAGCTCTAACCATTCATCCCCTGAACTTGAGCTTGCTATTTGAGATGGTCTGGAGAACTGCTAGCCCAGATGTTTTTATGCCTGTATGATGTGGAAGATATCTGAATAGTACCTCATTTGCTCGCTTTCATCATGCTTCCGGCATTTTTCTGCTCTTTCATTGGTAGGTCTCCAGTGAAACCCATCTCTGGGTGATTTTTGGCATAGATGAATCTAACTGCTGGAATTGTAGACAAAAGGCCTCTGAATATGTCCATCCTTCCCCAGTGGAAAATGTACTACAGCTGCATCTTCAAAATTCACATGATAGCACTGTGGTCACACTGGTGATGTCACAGCACACACCAATGAGGTCATAGTTACTGTATCCAGACATCAGAAAGGCCACAGCTCAGTAAACCTGATGCCCATATATGTTTGGAAATCAACCGGTTTCAATTTTTCCTGCTGGTAAAACTTTGTAATTCAAAATGAGGATACAGAAATATCGACAATTTGAACATTGCAAAAACTAAAATACTTTCGCGCAAATAAATACTGCTTGTTTAAATGTGACAAAAACGAGTGAGATGTTATTTCATGAGCAGTAGTTCTAGTGGGACGCGGGTGGCGCTGTGGGTTAAACCACAGAGCCTAGGGCTTGCCAATCAGAAGGTTGGCGGTTCGAATCCCTGCGACGGGGTGAGCTCCCGTTGCTCGGTCCCTGCTCCTGCCAACCTAGCAGTTCAAAAGCATGTCAAAGTGCAAGTAGATAAATAGGTACCGCTCCAGTGGGAATGTAAACGGCGTTTCCGTGCATTGCTCTGGTTTGCCAGAAGCGGCTTAGTCATGCTGGCCATATGATCCAGAAGCTGTATGCTGGCTCTCTTGGCCAATAAAGCAAGATGAGCGCCGCAACCCCAGAGTCGTCCGCAACTGGGCCTAATGGTCAGGGGTCCCTTTCCCTTTACTTTTAGTTGTTCTAGTACAGGGTATGTTTTACTGGTGCTCCTCAGCAGGTACCGCAAACAGCTTTATTTTTATTACTTTTTATTTACAAAGGCAAGTCTTTAGCCTTCCTAGAAAGGGCTTCATATGCCAGCTGTGCCATTTCCTCCATTTGGTGTGGGAATTTTATTTTCAGTATAAACAGGACTCTGTATTTGAACATGTACACACACCGCTTCTAATTATTCTCCCAGGTGTGGAGGTGAGGAAAAAGGATAACCAGGACATTCCGGGATCAAATCAGAAACTGGGATGGCTTCTGTAACTCTGGGACTGTCCTTGGAAAATTGGACACTTGGATGGTATGGGACTGAGCTATAAGTTAAATGGAGTTCTGTATAACTTCCCATCTCCCTTTAAGAGTGGGGGGGGGGGAGCTAATGATGCTGCAATCAGGCATAGATAGAAAGCAGGTGGGAAGGGGTGGTTAACCCTTTTCCTGCTGCCAGTTTCAACTCCTTGTTTGATGGGAGATATTTACTTGGGAGTAAGCACCAATGAGTAAGCACGCAGGTGGCGCTGTGGACACGGGTGGCGCTGTGGGTTAAACCACAGAGCCTAGGACTTGCCGATCAGAAGGTCGGCGGTTCGAATCCCCGTGACGGGGTGAGCTCCTGTTGCTCGGTCCCTGCTCCTGCCAACCTAGCAGTTCGAAAGCACGTCAAAGTGCAAGTAGATAAATAGGTACCACTCTGGCGGGAAGGTAAGCGGCGTTTCTGTGCGCTGCTCTGGTTCGCCAGAAGCGGCTTAGTCATGCTGGCCACATGACCCGGAAGCTGTACGCCGGCTCCTTCGGCCAATAAAGCGAGATGAGCGCCGCAACCCCAGAGTCGGCCACGACTGGACCTAATGGTCAGGGGTCCCTTTACCTTTAAGCACCAATGAAGTTACTTCTGAGTAAACAATACATAGAGTTTGGCTGCATGGCCGCACATTTACTTGGCAGTAAGTTCCACTGAACTCAGTCTTACTTCTGAGTAAACAGTGCATAGGACTGAGCTTTCCCTTCACCAATGCCCAATGGATGCAAAGTGTAGTGCGAGACAGTGTCAAATTTCTGAGTCATCAGTTGCCAGACAGAAAATGACCCATCACAGAGTCAACCCACCCTCTTTCTCAAGAAGAGCAACCAATCTACACAACCCCATATTTGCTGTGGTGGGGCAATTCTGATTGCTTTCTTGAGCTGTCACTCAATCGTGGTCTGCCTTTGGATGACATCATCACAGGTATATAAAGAAGAGCTCTGCAAGAGAATGTTTGGAAGGTGGGTCTTGGGTATTTTGTGGTAAGTTAACATGTTTGTATGTTGTCTTTTGGAGTCCTTAACTAGTTCTCTGTGTGCTTTGGTGATTCTGCAGCAGGGAAAACCAGGTTGTTGTTGTTTTAATTGAATACCGGTACATGTTTAAGGCTGGCTGCTAAAATGGCATTAATTCTATAGAAGTTAGAATGCCACACCCTGGGGCTGGATGGCTAGGGAAGCAAGATATTACTAGGGTGTGGCAAACTTTATGTGTACAATATTAAACACTGCAGGCAATTACTTGGTTTAGCCTTGAGGCTGTGCCTCTCCACTTTCCATTCATCCCCTCTACAGCAATTAACAGGTGACTGTGTTTTCCCCATGCTATGGAAACCTTGTTTGTTATTTCAGCCTGCTCATATACAGTGCTGGATTTACATATAAGCTAAACAAGCTATAGCTTAGGGCCCCACTCTCTTGGGGACCCAAAAAAATTTAAAGAAAAAAAACACTGGATGTACATTTCCAGAATATAAGATAAAAAACAAATAAAATAAAACCTACATACAGCAACAGTGTTTTGTGCTATGTAGGCTCCTATGATGTAAGTAATGGGCCCCGCCTGCTAGCCTGCTCCCTAAAATATCACTGGTTTGCTCATTTCTATATATAGGGTGCCTACATTCTGCATGTGCAAATGGCTTTAGATACCTATTAGGTCCATAAATTATATATTCAACAGAAAAAACAGTGGCAATTTGTTGTTGACAAAGGACAGCTGGACATATAAAGGGCCCCATTGCCTTCAGTAGCTTAGGGCCTCATCAAACCTAAATCCGGCCCTGCTCATATAAAGTACAGCTACAGGAGTCATCTGAAAAGCTGGCAACCTTTTTTGAGACCTCTGGGCAGAGAGGAAACGCCACGTCACACTTAGCTAGGAGCTCAATACTCCACCCATTTTGCTTGCTTGCCATTTTGCAAGGCTTTAGTTGACCCCAAATAAAGGCATTGCTCAGCTGTGGGTTTTGGAGCCCAGTGGCGTAGCGTGGGGGGTGAAGGGGGGGCCAGCCGCACCGGGCACAACATCGGGGGGGGGGGCGCGCTCGCACTCGCAGCTCTCTGCCCCTACCTGGCTCACTCACTCTCTCACACTGCAGTGCTGGCTGTGCGAATCCGATCCGAGCCGCTGGGTCGCCGCCCACTGTGGAGGGGGGTGGGTGCCAGGCGTGCGGTGCGGAGAGAGAGCGAGGGACTATCTGGGGGAGGGACAGTGCAGCGGCCGCCCAGCGCAGCGCTGAGCGCGGGAGAGAACCACACCAGACCAGACCAGGCAGCAGCAAGAAGAAGCTGGCAGCGGCGGCAGGTTTGGGGTTAGGGGGCGCAAATTACTTGCCTTGCCCCGGGTGCTGACAACCCACGCTACGCCACTGTTGGAGCCTCGCCCCTCTTCCCGCCTGCTCTCCTTTTTATGGGCCCATATGGGTGCTTATACAGTGGTACCTCAGGTTAAGTACTTAATTCGTTCTGGAGGTCTGTTCTTAACCTGAAACTGTGCTTAACCTGAAGCACCACTTTAGCTAATGGGGCCTCCCGCTGCTGCTGCACGATTTCTGTTCTCATCCTGAAGCAAAGTTCTTAACCTGAGGTAATATTTCTGGGTTAGCGGAGTCTGTAACCTGAAGCGTCTGTAACCTGAAGCGTCTGTAACCCAAGGTACCACTGTACTAACTTTTTAAAGGGTCTGTGACAAGCAAAGCATCATGCTACCATGGCCAGGAAGCTTTGAGTGCCACCAGGTGTACACTTAGAGGAACTGCAGCAAATCCTAGGTTTGCCTCTGCTTTATGCAATATGGCATTTTTTTAAAAAATCATAGAATCGGAAGGGACCCCAAGGGTCATCTAGTCCAACCCTTTGCAATGCAGGAATTGGAGGCTCATCCAGGATGTTGGAGGCAGGTCAAAAAAACTCTGAGTTAGGCTTTACTAACTTTTTTGGCAGGGAAAAAAACAGTTTAAAGGACTGTGTGTGTGCTCATATTTTGAGTAGGTATTTAATTAAAGCCATCTTGCCTTTAATTTAAAGATGGGATAAAAATTCAACAAACTTGAGCTGGGGGGAAAAAAACCCCAAACCCTAGATGCGTTTTTACTCTCGCAAGATTGAATGTATTGCCCTCGGTTGTATATAAGGGACGATTCCAACGGATTGCACACGAAAAACGCTTATGTCCCTGTGGAGATGGCAGTACCGAATCCATACTTTATAAAGACTTGAGGAATGAGATTATCACCCCTCTTTTATTGTCCATTCTGGGTCACCCAACCACTGCCACTGTGTCCTTTCTCTTGGCAGATCAAGATGAGCAGGTGACAGCAAAGGTTGCAAGGTTTTTAGCTGGGGCAATCAGAATAAGATCCACTGTTGGACTATTGATTCAAAACCCTAAAATGTATTTTATATAATTGACTTGTTATTTCTATTCTTGTTTTATTGCTATGGCCGATGGCTGATGCAAATAAAGATTCATTCATTCATTCATTCATTCAAAATCAAACTCTCCCCAACTCCTGCAGTAAGAAGTTCCAAACACCCCACACTCAGACTAAGTAACAAAGTTGTGGGAAGACCACAAGGCTACCCAACTTTGTGTCTTTTGTCTTGAATGGCACCACACAGGCCTTGTCTATGAAAAGCAGCAAAGGTGAGTTTAAATTGTGGGTTCTCAGTTACAACCGTGAAAGTAGGGAATCATAGAATCAGAGAGGACCACAAGAGTCATCTAGTCCAACCCGTTGTAATGCAGGAAACTTTTGCCCAACGTGGGGCTTGAACCCACAGCCCTGAGATTCAGAGTCTCCTGCTCTACCGACTGAGCTATGAAGACTTCCTTCTCAGTCACAGTGCGCCAGTTGTGGGGTCCTTCGTCCAGCAAAGCCCAAACAATTCTTTTCTCCTACAGAAGATTTGGAGAAAGAGAGTTAAGGGCAGTTAACTCTTCTGGAAATAAAACAAAGGGAGCTGTTGTAGTTCTTCTTTCTTTTTTAGATTTCTTGCATGCTTTATAGGTACTGCTTTATGGGAAATTATTTTGCATGGCGTATATCTTTTAATTGCTTCGGGAGTCCCACCCGATACAGCTTATGCGCAATACACTTAAAGCTGTGTTTAAATTTTGGGAGCTGTAGTTTACCTTTCACAGAGCAACGAGTCCCAGCACCCTTAAGAAACCATAGTTTTCAGTAGTGCTTTTTTCTGGGGGGGGTGCAAGGGTATGCGTACCCCTAAACATTTTGTGAATCTTTGCACTTTTGTTCATTTACTGTATTTATTTCCCCTGATTTGAACTATAAAATGGTGATTTTCTTGAATCAAAATGAGAGTACCCCTAAACATTTTTTTAAAGAAAAAAAGCACTGGTTTTCAGGAAATATTTGGAGGAAATGGTGTGCTTTCAATATATGGTATGGACACACCCAGTCTAAGAGAGGATAGGTAATGTTGGTCTTGCTTGTTCTTTCCAGAGCAACCTAGTTAATGCCATGGCATCAGAAAACAAAGACATGGCAGCAGCTGCTTCTGACTCCAAGAACAATGAAGATCAGCAGGTGAGTAGATCTTGGTGATGGTCATTTGATGGGAGAAACCACTGATGCTCTGAGTTGAGCTCCAAAGCTCATTCTACAATACATAGGACACTCCTCCCTCTGCCTTAGGAAGGCTGTTGCCTTCAGTCTGCTGAGTGGAGTAGCAACAGCAACAGCAACACAGCACAAGTTGTTGCATATCTTAATATTGTGCAGTTTGAAGCGGCTGGAAAAATAAAAACTGACTCCTTTTGGAAGGAGTCATTGTCCAGGCCCATAAAAATATTATCCAATTTTTACTAGCATAACTCTTTACAAAACAGAACATAAGCATTAAAGATACCCCTCCAAATATCCATACAATACCTTGTGCTTTCCAGCGCAGGCTCAGCATCTTAGAAAATATGGAATATAGTCGTACCTTGGTTCTTGAACGCCTTGGTACTCGTACGTTTTGGCTCCTGAACACCGCAAACCCAGAAGTAAGTGTTCCGGTTTGTGAACATTTTTCGAAAGCCGGATGTCCGATGCAGCTTTCGCTTGTGTGCAGGAAGTTCCTGTAGCCAATCGGAAGCCACGCCTTGGTTTTGAACCATTTCGGAAGTGGAACGGATTAAGTTCGGGAACCAAGGTACCACTGTAATCCAAACAGACCTATAAACAAAGGTCTATCTTTAACAGCATCCAATTCCCTGGTGCTGTTTTCCTTGAGAGCTTCATTTACATCTTCCGTTCTCTGTTGGGTTCAGAGAAACAATATCAGCCACCACCCTTTGAAGATGGCAGATTTGCAATTCAACACCTTTGCACCTGATCTAAGGTTACAGTAGTTTAGAGCAGGCTTCCTCAACCTCGGCCCTCCAGATATTTTTGGCCTACAACTCTCATGATCCCTAGCTAGCAGGACCAGTGGTCAGGGATGATGGGAATTGTGGTCTCAAAACATCTGGAGGGCTAAGTTTGAGGAAGCCTGGTTTAGAGTAAAAGAAGACAATCAACAAATATTCATTAACCCATTGAGGAGTTCAGTGTCCTTTTGAAAACAGTTGTGGAAAAACCCCAACGTTAGCCATTTTCCATTTTAAACCTTCATTAATACACATGCATCTTTTATTTCTGTGTGAATTAAAGCAATTATACTTAACACAGATGAGTCAGACAAGAACTGGCTAGATTCTGCCTTGGCCAGGCCTGCTGTTTCTCTAGCAACAACATCTAGAGGACCAAGGGTTCTTTATTCCTAATCTACAGAGTTTTGTTCCCTTAAACCCATGTACTCTCAGTTCCGCTGGCCAGACACATATCAAGAGAAGGGTTGGTTTCAAATGGAGTCTTTGTTGACTGCCCCCTGGCCTTGGGTTGCTGACACCGGTTGCCTTGTCTACTTCACGTTCCTTTGCTTCTAGAACCTGGTGAGCAGAGTGGCCTCGGTTTCCCTGAGTGCTGCTTGCGAAATGGTCTCCACCACATACTCTTCAATCAAAGAGAACATTCCGGTCTTCAAATCTTTCTGTGATGCGGCCGAGACGGGGATGAGGACAATTGCTTCGGCCACAGTCAGCAGGGTACAGCCTCTTTTCAGCAAGCCCCAGAGTGAGTAAATGGTCGGCTCTTTGGGATGGGGAGAGAAATTCAATTCTGTTCCCATTTAAAGGCAAACTACCGTATTTTTCGCTCTATAGGACGCACCGGCCCATAGGAGGGGGAGAACAGGGGAATTTTTTTTTTCTTGTTCTCCCCCTCTAAAACAAGGTGTGTTCAAGGTGCAGTCACCCGAGCTTGTGGGGCTGCTGGTGGGGGGAAGTGCTGCTTTCCCCCACCGCCAGCCTCAAAGATCCCTGAAGCCTTTGGAGCGCAGCGCCCCGCTGCCCTGGAGAGGCTTTGCGCGCAGCCGTCCCCAAGGTAGAAGAGCAAGACGGAGGCCTCCGTCTCACTGTTCTGGCTTGTGAACAGCCTTGCTAGCCTCTGCAGGACAGCGGGGTGAAGGCACCCCACTGCCCTGGAGAGGCTTTGCACGCAGCCATCCCCAAGCTAGAACAGTGAGACAGAGCGCTCCGCAGCGCTCCTTCTCCCTGTTCTGGCTTTGGGCTTAGCGGTGCAGCCTGCATTCGCTCTATAGGATGCACACACATTTCCCCTTAATTTTTGGAGGGGAAAAAGTGCATCCTATAGAGCAAAAAATATGGTAACCATTCTTTGCGTTTTCCGAAACAATACCTGAACTGAGACACAACCGTCTTTCAAAACTGCGGCGTATCCAAATTTTGCAAGCCCCCAAGATGTGTGTCCAAAAGTGTATATTTTGTGGTAAAGCATGCATATAAATGCATATATTAGTGCGAGCGACATTCCAAAATATAGAGAAATTGCTTTGCAACCATGTGTATGCTAGGCAAAGGTAGTAGGAGAAATTTGCCCAGTGATGCTGATGGATTTTTTATGAGAACTTTTAAAAAATAAGATAAAAAACTGATGTGGAAATGTAGGGAATTGAACTTAAGATTGAAAAAAAACGTGAAACTGCAAAAAACCCAAAATGAATATATTCACCTATCCCTACCCTTTGTGGAGTCTTTTCCAGTGTCCCCATAAGTTCATGGTGGTGGTAGTAAGTTCCACAGAGAGAAAAGGAGTGGAAATTAGCTTACAAAAATCTAATGACCACATGAAATTTTACCTTCTGTTGCAGAACAATATTAAACGGTCAGTGAAACATCACAAAACAAATGTCATTGTCAGTATATATAGCACATTTTCCACAGGGAAACTCATGCTCAAAGCAGTTCACACAAAGATCTAAAACAATAACTGTACATAACATATAAGACGTAATAAGAGCATCTATTGTCGTTGGTGCAACTGTCTAAAATTGCACTGTGCCAATGACAACTATTTATTATCTATTTTTTTAAAAAATCCAGCAGCAGATGTGCAGAACAGCCGAGATCTGGACAAAGTGGAGGAAAAGGAATTGATAGTTCAAGGACCAGCTGATCAGGTAACCTCTGTCCAGACTTCAACTGGTCCCTATTATGAATTTGTCCATCTGATAATGGGGTGGTCCTGGTGGCTAGGAGGTTAACAAAAGAACATGAATAGTCTTTGGAGGCTGGAAGACTCTCACTAGGTGATGACCTTCAGCTAGCTTAGGAACCTGTGGCTCTCCAGAGGTTGGCTGGGCTACAGATCCCATAATCCTGGTCCACTGGCCATATTGGCTGGGGCTGGTGTGTGCTGGAATTTAGCAGTGTCTGGCAGTGCCTTAGGTTCCCCATCCCTGAGTCAGGAGGAGTTGTTGTTAAGCAACCTCAAGCTGGAGGACAAGAGCTGTAAGTTAAGCAGGACTCAGTGGAGAGGCTTTAGGCTTCACCTTGGAATCTGATGTAGATGTCCATCTGTTTCTGCTGGGCTCTGGGTGCCTGATGTTTATTTACAGATGTGCACCGGGACGCGGGTGGCGTTGTGGTCTAAACCACTGAGCCTAAGGCTTGCCGATCAGAAGGTCGGCGGTTCGAATCCCCACGATGGGGTGAGCTCCCGTTGCTTGGTCCCTGCTCCTGCCAACCTAGCAGTTCGAAAGCATGCCAAAAGTGCAAGTAGATAAATAGGTACCGCTCCGGCGGGAAGGTAAACGGCATTTCCGTGCGCTGCTCTGGTTCGCCAGAAGCAGCTTAGTCCTGCTGGCCACATGACCAGGAAGCTGTACACCGGCTCCCTCGGCTAATAAAGCGAGATGAGCGCCACAACGCCAGAGTCGGCCACGACTGAACCTAACGGTCAGGGGTCCCTTTACCTTTTTACTCGAAGTCTCCTATGTATTCTCTGCCAGAAAACTGAATCCTGTAACACTTTCCCCAAATACCTTCCTGCTCGGATGTAGGATGCATGCAACGTGGTCCATCTTTGAAGGCTTATCTGTGGGCGGCAGACGAATACGGAAAGTTTTAAGAGCTACTTTTGTGAACAAGTTTTGCTAGGTTGCCCCGATGCTGACTGCTTCTCTCCCTTCCTAGGGGAGCCCAGATAAAAAGGAGACGGCGTCATCTACGGAGACACTTGCAGCAGCAGCGGTTTGCCAAAGAGCTGCCAAAACAAAGGACGTTTCCCCCGGCATGCTGGACCTGGTTAAAGAAGCTGTCCGAGGGAGTGTTGAGATGACCACGTCTGCGCTAACCAGTGGCATGAACACTGTGATGGGCTCCAGCATAGGCCAGATGGCCTCCAGTGCTGTTGAGGCTGTGATGGGGAAGTCTGAGGAGATGGTGGATCACTACCTCCCAATGTCTGATGAGGAGCTAGGTCAGTCGACGCTTGTCTGTTAGCCGCCTCTACCTGCGTGCGAGTGCCCGGTGGTCTGCGCCGTGCTCATGCATGTACGCCAGTGTTATTTAGTCTTTTCTAAGCACAGTTGTAGAAGGGACGTGGGTGGCGCTGTGGGTTAAACCACAGAGCCTAGGGCTTGCTGATCAGAAGGTTGGCGGTTCGAATCCCCGCGACGGGGTGAGCTCCCATTGCTCGGTCCCTGCTCCTGCCCACCTAGCAGTTGGAAAGCACATCAAAGTGCAAGTAGATAAATAGGTACCGCTCCGGCGGGAAGGTAAACAGTGTTTCCGTGCGCTGTTCTGGTTCACCAGAAGCAGCTTAGTCATGCTGGCTACATGACCCGGAAGCTGCACGCCGGCTCCCTCGGCCAATAAAGTGAGATGAGTGCCACAAGAGTCGGTCATGACTGGACCTAATGGTCAGGGGTCCCTTTGCCTTTAAGCACAGTTGTAGAAGAGCTACGCTAAATTAGCCGCACAATGTCCACTGCAGTGCAGATTCCCATTGCAAGGTCCCCCACAATCTGAAAACTAAAATTCTCCATCCATGCAATCCACATTCTGCACTAAAACAGAACTGAGCAAATGTGTGCATTGTTCTGTGACTTTCCTGCTGTTCTCCAGCTTTGCTTAATTCGTGGGTGGGAGAGCTCTTTGGAAGCCAGAGGGAGGCGTGGTAGCAAATGTCAATAGGCTTTGCCTTGGGAGGAAATGGGTAATCAAGCTCATTCTTGTAATCTCAGTCTATCTGAAAATTTCAGTATGTGAAGAGGTTTGAGCTAGTTGCTCCTGCTCATACCGCATGGCTCTCACCAGCCGGTCTAGAGTTCCTATACCAAGAATCTAGGAACTTTTACCACTTTGTAAGTAAACTAAGTTTTGCTGCCTGTGCAACTATTCTAAAGCACCTGAATCTGACCTTTCGAGAGTTTGTAAGTAAACCATTTTTAACTTGCCAAATGTGCGGTCTGTCCCTATGCTGGGGGAAGAGGGAAACTTTGGAAAGAAGCTTCTAACAGGCATATTGGAACTCACTTTGAAGGACATATTTTAAAACTTTAACAGTCTAGATTTCTTTACCTTGCTGCATATTTTGTGACTTTATATCTCTGCTGGGGTTCTCCCACCAAAAAGTACATGCTCCAAACTTGGATCTTGGTATCCAGGAATTCCAGGATGCATATGTATATTTGCACCGACAATATTTAGGGCGTTCTGCATATTTCCAGGGCTTGCTAAGTTCTAAAGTGTGTAATGCCTTCCTTTCAGCTACTCTTGCAGCTGCTGTGGAGGAGACAGAGACCTCTTCTTCCGTTGAGAAGCAAAGGCAGCAGCGGAGTTACTATGTGCGCCTGGGTTCCCTCTCCAACAGGGTGCGCCAGAGAGCCTACCAGCACACCCTGGGCAAGCTGCGCCAAACCAAGCAGAAGATGCAGGAGACTCTGTCCCAGCTCCAGCAAGCAATGGACTTGGTATAAGCACTTTTCTAGTCTCTGGTAGTGCTTGCTCTAGGTCGACCTTCTCTAACCTCTGCTGTTGCAGACCGCAACTCCCACCAGAGCCACCTGGCATGGCTGCATGATACAGAGGCTGCTGGTTGTGCTGGTTGATGGGAGTTGTAGTCCAAAACAGCCCCAGGTTGACAAAGGCAACTCTGGCTCTCTGGGGTTGGGGTGTTTTTTTTGGGAAAATGTGCTGGGTTCAGTTGCACAATGCACATACCTTTAGCTCAGGGTTGTCAATTCCAGATGTGATGTCTACCAGCCTTGATAACTTAAAAGAGGACACTGCAACTTTAATAATAATAATTTAATAATGATAATTTATTATTTGTACCCTGTCCATCTGGCTGGGCTTCCCCAGCCACTCTGGGCAGCTCCCAACAAAGATTAAAAATATATTAAAATGTCACACATTAAAAACTTCCCTGAATATACTTAAATGACTAACTGACCATTGAAGCTGAAGGGGGTGGGTCTGTCTGTTCAGATGTGGTGCCCCTGAACACCAATGTTGTGGAACAAACTGGGTGAAGGGTGGCAACTTACAGGTCCTGCTTTTGTGCTTTCCAGAGGGGCTGGAACTACACTGACCTGTTTAATATTATTAGAACGATATTAGATATATCATTCTAAAACGTCACAGGGCATACTTGTAAATTAAAGCGGTTTTCTTACCTTGTCCCCCCCCCCGTCAAAACGCTGCTGGTAGATCAACAGCACCCTCTGGTGTCACATTTTAATAATGCATAAAGAACATTAAATGCGGTACATCTGATGTCCACTTGCATTACCACAATCCTTCCCTAGGTAAACGTAAAGGGACCCCTGACCATTAGGTCCAGTTGTGGCCGACTCTGGGGTTGCGGCGCTCATTTCTCTTTATTGGCCGAGGGAGCTGGCGTACAGCTTCCGGGTCATGTGGCCAGCATGACTAAGCCGCTTCTGGCGAACCAGAGCAGCGCACGGAAACGCCGTTTACCTTCCCACCAGAGCGGTACCTATTTATCTACTTGCACTTTGACGTGCTTTCGAACTGCTAGGTTGGCAGGAGCAGGGACCGAGCAACGGGAGCTCAGCCCGTTGCGGGGATTCGAACCGCCAACCTTCTGATCGGCAAGTCCTAGGCTCTGTGGTTTAACCCACAGCACCACCCGCATCCCTTCCCTAACCCCTCCTTAATGTTAAAAACCATGTGTGTAAATCCACCCTGGGTGTCGGTTGCCTGATCAGCAAGGCACGCCATGCTCTGTTGCCCAAGCAGACTGGTTCATTTTATTTGTGTGGCAAAAGTACCTCCCAAAATGTGAGATGTGATTGTCCTTGGGAGAGTCAGTCCCACTGAGCTTCGTTTGAGAGACTTTCTGCTTTTTACTGTTTCGCTTGGAAGTATCTCTCTTTTCTAAATGTTCTTAATGTTCTCGCTGCTAATTTCCTAGATTGCATTTGCCAGACACACAGACCAGAAAGATCAAGGCGGGCAGGAGGAACTGCGGCAGAAGTGGTTGGAGTGGAGTAAGAACCAGTTGAGACAGAGCGATTCCACTGGAGAGAACCCAGCAGAGGTATGTTGTGTTCTTGGCTTCCTCAATGTATTTCACAGAAAAGGGCCCATCAGGACACAGGATGGCTTGCTCTCGTGACAAAGCTCAGCAGACCATAGCCTGGATGGGGTGCCCCTGCTAAGTAAATCATGGTAGCATAGCTGTCAACTGACAGAATTGAAAATAAGGGACCAGCAGCCTCGAAAATAAGGGATCAGCAGCCAAAATAAGGGATTTTCCGGGCACAGGTATGTTCAGCTTCTGAGCCCCTCCGAGCCAAAGGCAGAAAGCCCAGCCAGCAGCCAAACGAAGCCTTAAGCAGTGGTTCCCACATCGCAACAACCTGGCAAAGGGGATGCAGCAAGGAAAACCACCATCACCTCTCCGCTGGGAAGCGCTGAGCAAAGGCGAGTCTCCAGGCAAGGCGGCCAGGCACAAGGCATGCAAGCTCCACCCCCTCCCAGTCGTTCTTAGACTCCTTATTGGGTGAGCAATGCAGCCAAGCAACACAGTTGGAGCCTCCCTCCTCCCTGGCCGGCAGGGAGGGAGGGAGGGAGAGGAGCTGCTTCCTTTGAAACCTGGGAAATTTAAGGGACATCATCAATAAGGGACAGCAGCGGGACACAGCGCTGGGATAAGGGACTGTCCCGCCAAATAAGGGTCGGTTGACAGCTATGTGGTAGCTAAAGGGAGATCAGGATGAATAACAATAGTCTCATATTGTTTGGGTTTTGGAGAGTGTGCCTAAATCACAGGTAGGGCAAGAGCTGCAAAAATAAAACACAAAACTACAATATGGTTTGAACGGAGGATAATCAAACTTTCAGCACCAGTTTTAAATGGAAGTTAAAGTTTCTGCTTACTTTATGATTTGTGTGGATGGGCAAATGTAAGAGAAGTTCAGAAAAAGACAAGAACTGAAGACTTCCATTGCAGTGCTTTCACTTGACCAAGCTCTGCTCTGTGCCATATCCAAACCCCATTGCCTGACGCATCTGCTGAAGGTTTGCCATCCCTGTCCTAACTACAATTAATCCAGAATATGGCCATATAACACTGGTCCTGAAAGACCTAAATTGGCTCCCAGTACATTTCCGAGCACAATTCAAAGTGTTGGTGCTGACCTTTAAAGCCCTAAATGGCCTCAGCCCAGTATACCTGAAGGAGCGTCTCCACCCCCTTACTCAGCCTAGACACTGAGGTCCAGCTCCAAGGGCCTTCTGGCGGTTCCCTCACTGCGAGAAGGGAGGTTACAGGGAACCAGGCAGAGGGCCTTCTCAGTAGTGGCGCCTGCACTGTGGAACGCCCTCCCATCAGATGTCAAGGAAATAAACAACTCTCTATCTTTAAGAAGACATCTGAAGGCAACCCTGTTTAGGGAAGTTTTTAATGTTTGATGTTTTATCGTGTTTTTAATATTCTGTTGGGAGCTGCCCAGGGTGGCTGGGGAAACTTAGCCAGATGGGCGGGGTATAAATTCTTCTTCTTCTTCTTCTTCTTCTTCTTCTTCTTCTTCTTCTTCTTCTTCTTCTTCTTCTTTGTTTTGTTACTACTACTGTTAAGTTGTGGGTGAACATATCAGACGACACACTGATTCTTCAAACAGCTCTTGTTTATTCACAGGCCAGAACAGAACTGAACTGAAGGGTTCAGCCAGCCTGCTTGTATAGAGCTCCAGAACAACGTAATTGTAACAACTTTCTGTAACTATCCAATCACTGAACGTCACTCTCGATCCCTTATTTGCATATGTGGACCTGAACTATCTACAGCATCCCCCTGCTGGCCCAGGGTGAGAACTTCAATACATAACAACTACTACTATTATTATTACTAACACCTCTTTCTCTCCAGCAGATGGAATCCCAGGCTCTAGGCATGTCCCGCAACATTGCCCAGCAGATTCAGGCTGCCTGCCAGAGCCTCCTGGCCAACATGCAGGGTCTCCCTGCAGCCCTCCAAGAAAAGGTACAGCAAGCTTACAGCTACATGGAGGAGCTACAAGCTGCTTTTTCCAATGCCAAGTCATTCCAGGAGCTTCCTAGTGGCCTTTTGATGCAGCGCCAGGAAACAATGGGCAAAATCTGGCAGGCTGGGGACGAGGTCCTGGAGTACGTGATGCAGTCCACTCCCCTGAACTGGATTGTGGGGCCCTTCTCCCCAGAAGAGGTCTCTCCTCCTGAACCTTTGGCCGAAACCCAAGCAGCAGAGGTGCCTCCATCTGTGAAGGAATCAGAGGTAGATGTCCAAAGGATGGAAGTGCCTGGATCCAGTGCTTTGAACGATCAAGCCTAACCTGCAATCCGTGGCCAAGTTGCTTCAGTTTTTCCCAGTTACACAGAGCTCAGCAGTGCTCAATGTTGTTGAGGCCTCTTTGTTGCAGAACTTGCTAACTAAAATGTGAAGCAGTGCAGTTCTCTTAGCAGCTTGTAGGTGACAAAAACTGTACCTCCAAAACAGTTTGGCCCATCTCCTATGGCAGTGCCAAGCTGACCTCTATAGAGGCTGCTCAATGCAGTTTTCCAGCAAAGCACCAAACCAATCTCAACAGGGCACAAATGAATGGATGCTACCTGACTAAGGACTGGTTCAGGGTCACTTCTCCTGCTTGCATTAATATCTAAAAAAGGATGCATCTAGACCAGTGTTTCCCAAACTTGGGCCTCCAGCTGTTTTGGGACTACAATTCCCATCATCCCTGACCACTGGTCCTGCTAGCTGGGGATGATGGGAGTCGTAGTCCGAAAACAGCTGGAGACCCAGGTTTGGGGAACACTGATCTAGACGTTAACAGCAAACAGCGGGTTAGCATCTAGTTTCAGCCCAGGACTTCTTTAGCTGGTGTTGACTAGGACTTACCTAGGCCTCATAGAATTTATGGTGATCTGTTATCTTTCAAGCTTCTTGACCACTGAACAAGAGTAAACACTTCATGTCAAAGTTAAGTAAACCTATTTGCATCTCAAACTGTGGCTCTGGATTTATTCTTCCCTGTTAGAGAAGTGCCTTGGCACTGCTGCTTAAGATCTGGCTTTTGGTACTAGAATATAAGGGACGTGGGTAGTGTGTGGTCTAAACCACTGAGCCTCTTGGGCTTGCTGATTGGAAGGTTGGCGGTTTTTATCCCTGCGTCGGGGTGAGCTCCCGTTGCTTTGTCCCAGCTCCTGCCAACCTAGCAGCTCAAAAGCACACCAGTGCAAGTAGATAGATAGGTATCACTGCAGCGGGAAGGTAAACGGTGTTTCCATGCGCTCTGGCTTCCGTCACGGTGTCCCGTTGTGCCAGAAGTGGTTTACGCATGCTGACTGCATGACACGGGAAGCTGTCTGTGGACAAACACCGGCTCCCTCAGCCTAAAAGCGATATAAGCGCCGCAACCTCATAGTTGCCTTTGACTGGACTTAACCATCCAGGGGTCCTTTACCTTTACTAGATTATAATGTTAACACAGTAGACATGAAATACGCATGCAAATAGAACATCTCTCCACTTCTACGTAAAAAGCATACAATGTGACAAACTGTGGCACATTGTTTAAATAGGAATGCATCCATTGGGAAACAAAAGTAGCAACTTCTGCTTACGTTTGGCATGATAAATATGTAATTTAAGTAGAATATGATCTCTTAACCTCAGCTGCCAACAAATATCTGTTTTCTCTGAAAGCCTAATTAAGAACGTGGTGCTTCCCAGATCTATTTTGTCTTTCCCAGCACCAGAGAAGCGACTTGTAAAAATGATGACTGTCCTCTTACAGAGCTTCAACCTCTATTCTTGGACATGGGTTTCCTTTGTACATGCACTTTGTAATAAATCTAGAAAACATCCAGTCATATGCAGCAAGGGTGAAGGCCGAGCTTCTTCCCATCTTTGTATTTACCATAAAAAACACCAGGGGGCAGTAAGGCCTTTTTCCCTCTTGTGATGCATACTCAGTCATTTAACAGTTGGTACATTCTCCATGTTAAATAAGGTAAAGGTAAAGGTACCCCTGCCTGTACGGGCCAGTCATGTCCGACTCTAGGGTTGTGCGCCCATCTCACTTAAGAGGCCGGGGGCCAGCGCTGTCCGGAGACACTTCCGGGTCACGTGGCCAGCGTGACGAAGCTGCTCTGGCGAGCCGGCACCAGCACAGCACACGGAAACGCCGTTTACCTTCCTGCTAGAAAGCAGTACCTATTTATCTACTTGCACTTTTAGGGGTGCTTTCGAACTGCTAGGTGGGCAGGAGCTGGGACCGAACGGCGGGAGCTCACCCCGCCGCGGGGATTCGAACCGCCGACCATGCGATCGGCAAGCCCTAGGTGCTGAGGATTTACCCACAGCGCCACCTTGTTAAGTAAAGCCTCTATCAATATTTCACCCCAAAATTCCAATGGACAAAAGCAAGGAATTGCAAGCTAAGGAATGGTTCAGACAATTATCAGTTCTATTTTTGACTGTGGTTAAACTGTCCAAGCCAATACTTTTGTTGTGCATTAATTCAGAATAGCTGTCATATTAGTTTACAGTGCCAAAAAAAGGTGGGGTGAATCTCTTGATTTTTCTGTGCTTTAAAGAACTGTACAATTGAGGTTGCTAACTTGTTTTTCAAGTGGTTCTATATCCTGACAGCAGCCTGCTGCTGAAATTTAACCCATGAAGCTTTCCCTTCCACTGGAGGAAGCTTGCTTTAATTTCTCATTTCCAGTATGAAACAGTACTGATAAAAAATGATCAGGCCTATGTTCAGCTGAGTTTTTTAAAAAAGTAAGCTAAAATCTAGTCAACCTGTTGCATCTTCTGGTGTTCTGCACAAGATGACCCAATGGATTACCTAGATCCCTTGTTCCAAAACAAACACAATCCAAAATGTTCTGGCATGTCTCTCTAAGCTTGCAAAATGAAGGTTCATACGGCAAACATACAAATATTTGGTATAAGTTATTTGCTCCAGTGCCCTGCTGAGAGGGTTCGGACGATTTCCTCTTTCTTCCTGGTGGTAGGCATCCATCTGTCTCGAGAGACAATGGGGTGCACCTCCAGGGGTGAAGGCAAACCACTCTGATAGCAGCACCAAAGTGACCTTTCTGGGGTGAAAGCATGGGCAGTGTGTATGGAGGCCCTGGACTGCTCAGGCAACAAGACCCTCCTCTTGGTCTCGCTGATGTGGTCCAAAGGAAAGCAGAGCAATAGGTTTGGCACCAGCTTAGTTGCAGGAATTGCTAGAAGGAGACATACAAGGTAATATCCAGCTATCTTAGGGGCTCCACTCTGGATTTGTGTAGGATTTACTCCTTAGCCTTTTCTCCAGAAGATATCCTGCAGGGCAGTTGAGGTTTAGGACCAGAGTTTTCCTTCTCCTAGATGGACTACCTTCCCAGGTTGACGAGGCTCATCCGCCCCTGACTTCCTTCCACAGCACATCCAGAAACCGCCCTCTTGACCGTTGGACCCACTATTGGTCTCATCCCCAGTCAATCTGCCAGAGCCTGTCTTCACACGCAGGGAAAGACCCTAACTCACTGAGGAGTTGAGACCCATCAGCTACCCTCACCTGGTTTAGCTGGCCAGTCAAAGCCATTCCCAGGGTGTGGCTGCTGTCACATGTTGACAGCTTCTAGGAGCCACAGGTGAGAGCTGAGTGCAGGCTCCCTACGAACTTAACAACAAGAACTCACCGACAGCATATGAATACGTAAAAAAAGGTACAGTGGTACCTCTGGTTATGTACTTAATTTGTTCCGGAGGTCCGTACTTAACCTGAAACTGTTCTTAACCTGAGGCACCACTTTCGCTAATGGGGCCTCCCGCTGCTGCTGTGCCACCGCCGTGCAATTTCTGTTCTCATCCTGAAGCAAAGTTCTTAACCCAAGGTACTATTTCTGGGTTAGCGGAGTCTGTAACCTGAAGTGTATGTAACCTGAAACGTATGGAACCCAAGCTACCACTGTAAAGGTAAAGGATCCCTGGATGGTTAAGTCCAGTCAAAGGCGACTATGGGGTTGCGGCGCTCATTTCGCTTTCAGGCCGAGGGAGCCGGCGTTTGTCCACAGACAGCTTTCCGGCTCATGTGGCCAGCATGATTAAACTGCTTCTGGCACAACAGAGCACTGTGATGGAAGCCAGAGTGCACGGAAATGCCGTTTACCTTCCCGCCACAGTGGTATCTGTTTATCTACTTGCACTGGCATGCTTTCAAACTGCTCGGTTGGCAGGAGCTGGGACAAAGAAATGGGAGCTCACCCCATTGTGTGGATTTGAACCACCAAGCTTCTGATCGGCAAGCCCAAGAGGCTCAGTGGATTAGACCACAGCGCCACCTGTGCCCCATATGAATCAATATGGCTTACTTGACCCAACAATCTCACCCCCCAATGCAAACAAACCTCACTGCAACTAACCACAGACAACCAACCACACCCTGGCAGCCCCAATCCCTCTCACTACCAAGGAAATGTAGTAAGCGAATAGAAAGAGAACCTACTCAGTTGACGCCGACACAAAACCCCACATGCACACTATATAAAAGAAAATAATAATAATAATAATAATAATAATAATAATAATAATAATATATTATTTATACCCCACCCATCTGGCTGAGTTTCCCCAGCCACTCTGGGCGGCTCCCAATCAAGTGTTAAAAACAATACAGCGTTAAATATTAAAAACTTCCCTAAACAGGGCTGCCTTCAGATGTCTTTTAAAGATAGGATAGCTACTTATTTCCTTCACATCTGAAGGGAGGGTGTTCCACAGGGTGGGCGCCACTACCGAGAAGGCCCTCTGTCTGGTTCCCTGTAACCTCACTTCTCGCAATGAGGGAACCGCCAGAAGGCCCTCCACGCTGGATCTCAGTGTCCGGGCTAAACGATGGGGGTGGAGACGCTCTTTTAGGTATACAGGACCAAGGCCGTTTAGGGCTTTAAAGGTCAGCACCAACACTTTGAATTGTGCTCGGAAACGTAATGGGAGCCAATGCAGATCTTTCAGAACCGGTGTTATGTGGTCCCGGCGGCCACTCCCAGTCACCAGTCTAGCTGCTGCATTCTGGATTAATTGCAGTTTCTGGGTCACCTTCAAAGGTAGCCCCACGTAGAGCGCATTGCAGGAGTCCAAGCAGGAGATAACCAGAGCATGCACCACTCTGGTGAGACAGTCTGTGGGCAGGTAGGGTCTCAGCCTGCGTACCAGATGGAGCTGGTAGACAGCTGCCCTGGACACAGAATTAACCTGCGCCTCCATGGACAGCTGTGAGTCCAAAATGACTCCTAGGCTGTGCACCTGGTCCTTCAGGGGCACAGCTACCCCAT